TTTACGAATTACACCAAATGGTGTAAATTGATGCAAATTGCAATTAGTGGCCGGGGAAGGCTCAATCACATCACTGCCAACCCCGTACCACCAGATGATCCGGAGTACGCACAGTGGGCACAAAGGGACTCATAGGTTCTGTCCTGGATCATCGAAAACATCGATGGAGATCTAGCGAACCAATTCCTAGATTATAAACATGCTCGAGATATGTGGAAGGGCATTGAAACCCTACTCAGTAGTGGAAGGGACGAATTACAGACCTTTGATCTGAACACAAAGGCTGCATCTTTGAAGCAGGGAAGCGAAAACCTAGAGGTGTATTTCAGTAAACTGAATACCCTCTGGAAAGAAATTGATAGGAGAATGCCAAACCCAATGAAGTGCTCAGAAGATATTACCCTCTTTAATTCATTTATACAGAGGCAGAGATTATACCAATTTTTGGCTGGTGTTAACGACTCACTGGACAAAGAGAAGAGGGACTTACTGAATCAGGACCCTCTTCCATCAATTGACGCAGCATACGCATTCATTAGACGGGAAATTGCCCGTCGCGGGATAATGACAGGCGTTTCATCACCGGGACAAAATCCCTCAGAAATTGGAAGTGGGCTCGTTGCTAATCGCCGGTCGGAATCTTCATTCCGGCGAGAAGACAAATCCCACCTAAAGTGTACCCATTGTGGAGGAACGAAACACACCAAAAAGGGGTGCTTCGAAATTATCGGGTATCCGGAATGGTGGGAGGAATACACAAAGAAGAAGGCCGCCACCAAGGTCGGCGTGAACCAGACCGGCGGCAAGGCACATCTTGCCGTGAAATCGAGCCCAACCCCCAGTAGATCTGACAATGATGGTGGCGGAAAAAACTCAGGCAAGGAAGGTTGCGCAGAGAAGATCGCAAGCATGGAGGAAGCAGAAAGTACCACCGAGAATTATGGTGGTCAGGAAGGTAGAGAGCAGAAAATGGAAAGAGGGATTGAAAATGGGAAGGATGAGGCAAGAACGGTAGAAGACCTAACCCACAAAAAACCCACTCCCTCTCACCCTCTAACCGTCCCTCTTAAAGCCCCAAGCCCACAAAATAAATTTAGCCCAATAAAACAAAAAATAGGAGCCCAAGTTGAAAATACTCAGCCCCCTAGCTTAAACCAAAAATCTTTTGGCCTCGTTTGTCATAGACCTATCCCGTGGATTTTTGATTGTGGAGCTACTGACACTATGACGTGTGACCCATTAGATATTAAAGCCACTCAAACCACCCATCGTAACCAAATTCAAACAGCAAACGGGGAATATATTCCTGTTACCCAGGCTGGGACCGTTGATGTTACCTCGGACATTCATTTAAATAATTGTCTTTTAATTCCCAGTCTCACTCATAAGCTTTTATCTGTGAGTCAGTTGACTAAAGAGCTTAATTGTACAGTCTTACTAATGGATTCTGGTTGTATTGTGCAGGATGCTCTAACAGGACGGATCATTGGGCGTGGTACTGAACGAGGGGGTTTGTACTATGTGGATGAGGTGGCTCAACAGGGTAACGCTTTGCTTGCTCATGGATCACCGGAAAACCAACTTTGGATGTGGCATCGTCGGCTAGGTCACCCCTCTCTTGGTTACCTTAAACGTTTATTTCCCTCATTTAAAAATATTGATGTAGCATTGAACTGTGAAGCATGTGTTTTAGCTAAGAGTCATAAACATACTTATCATCCTAGTTTAAGTCATGCCTCTGAACCTTTTGCTTTGATTCATTCCGATGTATGGGCCCAGCGCCTGAATTTGCGTTCCATAACTATTCTTATTTTGTTTTATTTGTGGATGATTGTACTCGTATGAGTTGGGTTTATTTCTTAAAACATAAATCTGAAGTGTTTGATGTCTTTGTTAAATTTTATCATATGATATGCACTCAGTTTCATGCTCACCCACAAATTTTACGACCGGACAATGGGGGGGAATATATAACCTTAGATATGGAACAATTCATTATTGACCATGGTCTGATTCACCAAACCACGTGCCCAGACACTCCCCAACAAAATGGGATTGCTGAACGGAAAAATCGAACCCTTCTTGAAATAACCAGAGCTATCATGTTAGAATCCCATGTCCCGGTCTATTTTTGGCCAGAAGCCATTGCTACATCCACCTATCTCACAAACCGACTTCCCAGTAAACCACTTGACTACAAAACACCTCTCGACACCTTATCCTCTCATGTCACCATCCCATCAGTCCATTCTTTACCTCCACGAGTCTTTGGGTGCGTTGTCTATGTTCATTTACCAAAACGGGCTCGAAATAAGCTCGAACCTAGGGCAGTTAAATGTGTCTTTATTGGGTATGGGGTTCATCAAAAAGGGTACCGTTGTTATGATCCAATTCAAAAAAGGGTCTACACCACCTTAGACTGTGAGTTCTTTGAACAAACTTACTATTACACCCAGCTAAGTCCTCAGGGGGAGAATTTGAGTGACCTTAGCTGGCTGACATATCCAGAAATGGTGGACCCAGATCCTACAACACAAGTAGGCAATACCACCGATGCTACCCCAGAAGCAGTAGTCTCACTTCCTCTTCGGTCTCCACCAAATCCGCCAAATGAGCATCCATCTGAAGAGGTACCATCTGAAAGCTCTCCTATTTCCTATAATATGCCTGAAATTAATCCTGTCTCCAATGAAAGTGAACAAAACAGGTATGAGTTACCTCCTAGAAGTACGAGAGGAGTTCCACCAAGGAGATATGATCCTGAATATGAGGACCAACGGTCGAGATACCCAATCGAAAAAATCAGCACTGAAAATCTATCCAGCACAGCCATAGCTTTCAATGCCTCTTTATACTCCGCAGACATTCCAAAGAATGTGGAGGAAGCTGTCAAGAATGAAAAATGGAAGCAGGTTATGGAAGAAGAGTATCAGGCCCTACAGAAAAACAAGACTTGGGAGAAATGCATCTTACCAAAGGGGAAGAAGAAGGTGGGATGTAGATGGGTATTCTCCATCAAATACAGAGCAGATGGAACTATTGAGAGATACAAAGCAAGACTGGTTGCTAAGGGATACACTCAGACATATGGAATAGACTACTCAGAAACTTTCTCTCCTGTGGCCAAAATTGACACGATACGAGTTCTGTTTTCTGTAGCTGCAAACAAGGAATGACCTTTGTACCAGTTTGATGTAAAAAATGCCTTCCTTCATAGAAGCATTGACGAGGAGGTGTATATGGAGGTACCTCATGGATATTCTCATGATTTTAGAGATGGGGAAGGATGCAGATTGAGGAAGGCTCTCTACGGACTAAAACAGTCTCCTAGGACGTGGTTCGGAAGATTCACAAAAGCTATGAAGAAGTTTGGATATAGGCAAAGTAATTCCGATCATACTTTATTCCTGAAGAAAGAAAAAGAGAAAATCACCTGTTTAATCATCTATGTAGATGACATGATTATTACAGGAAATGATGAGGAGGAGATCGCAGACTTAAAGGGAAAATTATTTCAGGAATTTGAGATGAAAGATTTGGGCAATCTCAAATACTTTCTTGGCATAGAGGTCTTGAGATCAAAGCAAGGGATCTTCATTCACCAGAGGAAATATATTCTTGACCTTCTGGCAGAAACAGGAATGCTTGGTTGCAAACCAGTTGAAACACCGATTGTGGCAAATCATGGCCTTCAAATTCTTGAAGGTGCAAAATTGACTAATAAGGAGGAGTATCAAAAGATTGTGGGGAAACTTATTTACTTAGCTCACACAAGACCAGACATAGCCTATGCAGTAGGGGTAGTGAGCAGATTCATGCATCTTCCACAAGTACAACACATGACAGCAGTAATGAGGATTTTGAGGTACCTAAAGGGTACAAGTAGTACTGGGATTTACTTTGACAAGAATGATCACCTAGATCTAATTGCGTACACGGACGCAGATTGGGCAGGAGATCGTGATGGTAGAAAATCCACCTCTGGATACTTCACCCTAGTAGGAGGTAATTTGGTCACCTGGAGAAGTAAGAAGCAGAAAGTAGTGGCTTTGTCAAGTGCAGAGGCAGAATTCAGAGGTATTGCAAAAGGGATAACTGAAATCTTATGGATCCGGAAACTTATGAGTGAAATTGGTTTTCCACAAAAAACAGCATGCAAACTCTTTTGTGATAACAAAGCAGCAATAAGTATCTCAGAAAATCCAGTTCAACACGACAGAACGAAGCATGTTGAGATAGACAGACACTTCATAAAAGACAAACTGGAAGATAAGATAATTAAACTTCCATTTGTGAGATCAAGAGATCAGCTGATATCCTGACAAAAGCTGTCAACAGTGAAGCATTCGATGAGACATTACGCAAGTTAGGCATTGGAGCACCAAATGCCCAACTTGAGGGGGAGTGTAGAAATAACCATAATTAGTTCCTTAATTAAAGGGACTAAATATTGACCAATTTATTCTGCAAATATTTAGGCTGTATTTTTGGTAGTAGTTGTTGTAACCTTGGTAGTAGTTGCCTAATTTACAGGATACTTCTGTGTATAAATATTTGTACTATCATCAGCAATAAACACACAGAAAATTGCAAACACAATTCTGCTTAATTCTCTATACTTTCTAAAAACAAGTAATAAAATAACTCGATTCAAGTACTTCCTCCATTTCATATTATTTGCAACGATTTGACATTAAGTAGAGAGGAAAAATGTCTATATCATTGCAAATAATATAAAACAGAGGTAGTATAATGATCACACAATCGCGATGCACAATTCGAGTTTCCCTGTCATTACACATTGGAATAGAAAATCCAAAGTGCACAACTACCTACAGTAGATGAGTTCATCATAGTTACATTATTCAAGTATGCTTTTGAGTCTATTAGTCTCTCATATAGTATTACTGTATTAGTATTAGACACTAAAATATGTGCTACTCCCTCCGTCACCTAAAATTAGTCGGTGATTTAAATTACACCATCAACGTGATTATTAATTCGAAACAAATTAATCATACAAGTATCATTTTATAAATATAATCATATTGATATGACAATATATCCATTGTTATAGAAAAGGCAGAAATTCTAGAAACAAGAAAACAAAGAAAAATCAATTAACAGGAAGAACCTTCTTAACAATCTCATCACTAAGATTAGCAATCTGAGAATCAAGAGACTTAATAGTATCCTCCTTCTGCTTCTCCAAACTAGCCAAAGCTTCCTGAAGTTCAACCTCAATCTTCTTCCTTCCTTCAGCCAATTTAGCCTCAACTTCAAGCTGAGTCTCCTTCTTCATCTTATTCAAGGCAGCAGAAATCTCAGCACGTGCAGCGCGCATGACAGCGTTAGCTTGTTCCTCAAGCTGCTTAACCTCAGAAGAAGTGTCCTTAACATCGGCAAGCTGCTCTTTAATGGAGGCATCACGTTTGTCCATGAAGTCGCCAAGAGGGGTGTAGTAGATCTTGTCGAGAGCGAACATGAGGAAGAGGAATTCGGCCATGATAATGGGGAGAGTGAGGTTGAAATCGAAGAGGGAGGCTTTCTCGATTTCTTCGGCGAGAGAGGGGTGGGGGAGGAGGTAGGAGAGAGAAAGTGAGGCGGCGGAAATGGCGGCGGATTTCAGGAGAGAGAAATTGAGTTGTTTTTGAGGGAGTTTGAGAAGGGGGGTTTTCAGGAGAGGGAGTTTGGGTTTAGGGGTGGATGTTGGTGGGGTGGTGGTTGGGAGGGTTTTGGAGGAAGAGGCCATGAGCATGTTGGCCATTGCTGCTGGTTATGGTTGTTCTCTGAAACTGAGAGTGTAGATTTTTTTTTTTTTAATTTTTGAAAATTTGTGGGGATTTTTGATTGGGGAAGAAGAATAAGGGGTGGTTTTGGGGATTTTGGGAGGGAGAAATTGTGGAAAAGGTTATCTCAATGTATGCCACACAATTTGGGATCATATATTGTGGTACTTATTTATTGTTTTTTTTTTATAATAAAATTACCTTTAAAAATCTCTTTTGGCAGTTTTGTAAAAAAGAGCTGTAACATAAAAAATTAAAAAATAAAAAGAAAAAAAAATTGATGGAATGTCGGAAAATCAACAAGATTAAGGGCCTGTTCTCAATCTTCTCACTAACTAAATTCAGCTAAATTGAACTGAATTGAAATGAAATAAATATTTTATAAGAGAAGGAAATTAGGAGCTGAACTGAATTGAGCTAACTTAAACTGAAATGAAAATAAACGTATGAGAACAGGCCCTAACTCCCTAAGTGTTTGTTCTTCATCATTTTTTGTATCTTATCTAGTTTGTTTAACCACCAAAAACAGTAATTTTACTCCAACATTGAAAATCACCTTTTTCAAAGAGGATATAAATAATATGGAGTACTTCGTAGCTTTGTTCATTCTTGTAACAAGAGATTATACTTTTAGATTTGTAGTTGCATGAGATTTTCAAGTAACAAAGTGGATACTGTCGAACACTTTTCTCTATTGTAAATGATTCCCTACTTGACAAACTGTACTTGAAATGCTTCTTAACTGTTCTTCCTCTGAGAAGAGCAAGCAGTACATCCGAAAATGAAGTACCATCTCAAACATACTCAGTCATATAAAATGATTGCAAACAAATGGCAGAAAATGCAGATTGAAGCCTATAAAGTAGAGTTTAAAATTTTCATTGATAATTGTTTGTACGTGACAATGTGTCAGATGCTACAAATGTATATTTGGGTATGAGGATTTGATCCTAAAACTGGGTCTTATGCTCTACCAAGCACTTGAATTACTCCCGCGGTATAAATGTGTATACAACTTTTTTTGTGGTAATATGTTTATACATAACTATGTCCAAGAGAAGCCATTCAGCAGAGATATTTCTGTGCAAGTAGTGCAACTCAAATTTCTACCTGTGAAACTCTGGAAGAATAGCGGGGGTGTCTCTTATCAGAAAAATGAAACCAACCTCTTATGCCACCAGTACCTGTCCACCTTGATTGATTGGCTTGCCTTTCGAACTTCAGCTGATCATTGTTGGAAACTCTTGAATACAAAAACCACCCTCTGAATAGATGGGAGAGCATAGATTCACTGTGACTAGAGTTATCCTCAACTTGACAGCTTAGGTTCTCCTGATCATCAAAGGCCTCCTCTACTTTTGATGTTTCCTCTTCTTTGTTCTCTGTTCTGCATTACAGAATACCCTAATCATTCAGTTTCCTTGATCTAGAGTGCAACAAAGAGAACCTTAGAATTAAGGAGAAGTGACGATAAATTGCTTGCCACAAAGCCAGCTCTATTACCATCGGATGGTCTAATAATCAAGAAGCACTAAGAGTTTCATACATAGTCTTCAGAGACAAAATATGCTGTAGATTCTTTAAAAAAAAAAAAAATCGATGTATCTGTGTACTTTAAGGGAGTGATTGCTTTTCAGCAAGTATAAAAACCGTCATAAAATTGTTTATTCTTCATCCTGTGTTGACCAACAACCGTGTAATAAAAAAGGAGCAAAGTATTTCATGATCTTTTCTTTAAGTTGACTGGATCTAAAGAGCAGCATGCTTCAGAAATCTGTCGCTAGAGGCAGCGTTATACAGAAACACCAGCAAGACAAACAACCCAATGCCTTAGAAATGACCGCCTAGGTAATAGAACCACTACCTAAACATCCTAAAGTATGCATCTGCCACCTTTAAGACCACTTAACTCCATATAGGTGTAACATTAAATTGCAGCCATGGGATAAAGCAAAAAATATGGAAAGAGCAATAGATGAAGTCTTACGTTGTGCAAGGCTTGGAAGCTTCTATTCGTTTTCTTGATCTCTTCTTTATGAGGTTGTAAGCAATGGACACATGCCGAACAAAACGAAGCTGCAAACATCAAGTAAGGTCGAGTCAGCACAAAGAAGGAGGAAGACCTCACAGGGTAATCCACTCAGGCGTCAGGAAGACACATATAGCAACAACTAAATTTACAGAATACTAGTAAATAACTTATCAAGATAGGTTACAAACATCAAACAACCTCCAAGACAACATAAAGCACTTAACTCTATATTGCTGAAGCATTAGTATCAATACTATTAAAGCTTCTACGAAGGACTAATAAGAAAAATTTAACAGCCAAGAAGACCAACACGGTACAGTTTCAGAAACAACTGCATGTAGAGAGAAACTTAAGAGAAGCCCATATGAGCCTCAGGAGTTTATGTCAGTTAAACAAATTACAATAGATCCATTTCCAATTCTCTTAAAAAATGAAATAAAAGAACAAAATTTATAAACCAACATATAGATAGACGAAAGATGACCTATATCAATTTACAAGAGATTGTTTGTCCAGATATAGAAGCAACAAAACATCTTCAACAACAGCTCATCATGGAATGTATAACCAACAAAGAGGTTTAGATAGTAGTCCTCACCTATGCTAATTAGGACCAATGAGGCAAGAATGCAGTGCAATCCAAGCTTATATTGAGAACTTATACTCACTAAAAGAAAAACTAGTGACATGCTCTAAAAGTTATTTGGAATAGAATATCTTGCATCGACAAAGATAATAAGTAATTAGAGAGCATCCTTATCATCACATCCGAGCTAAAAGCTGGTCTATAAGCAATCAACTACCACAAATTAAATGGCTCACAGGTGCTACCTCCCTGCTATACATTACACTAAGTAGACTCGAATTGAAATCCAAATTAGCTAGCATTAACTGGCAGCACAAAACATGCTAAAAATTTAAGACTTCTCACTTTCACTTGAGAAAACCTACTGTAACTAATATGAAAGTAGATTTTTGCTTTGCTGTAGACAACAATGGATAAAGTGTATACATTGAAAACAACCAAGGTAAAGTTTTAGAAAGGATCAAGTCTCTATGTGATTCAGTTTCATTTACAACATCAAAATGGCATAATTTCCCATGCTGCTTGCAACAAAAATGTCAGAGCACTGAAAGTTTTAAAGAGTATGTAAGCAAACATACCTCATCACCATCCCTGACACCAAAATTCCTGAGATACTCACTGTCAATTAGTAGCTTCTGACCACGATAAGACAAGCAAAACTGTGTCCATACATGTCGCCTATCAACAGAAATAGGTAAAACATAATTGGTTAATCAGAGCTAGTTGGGAAAAAAATATCATGAATATAAAGCTGTATTTGTAAATAAAATTCCATACCACGAAATCTTGCCAGTTTCAGCAGTAGGCAAATTACTGAAATAGCTCTCCACTGCCTGCTTGAGATCAGATATCGTAGCCAACTTTATGACCTCAATTCCTACAAAACCGTTCAATAACAACCTCATAATCTAATCAAACACAATACACTATAGGCCAAGCCTACAATACTTTGAACATAACACATTATTCCTTAAGAAGATCTGTATTCAACTATCCACATCAAAATCAAACTATAACCAGTCTTCCAAACGTAATTCATTGTTCACAAATCACAAGTTCCTTCAAATGTCCTCCACTCTCCATGACAATAAATTCCAAGCATAACACAAAATGCCTTAAAATTCACCAAATCAAACAAAAATAGGACCCCATGCAGAAATTCAATAATCTAATAACAAAATCACATATAATTCCTTTTGTTAGTGTCTCAATTTCGATTAAAAGTCCTACTGCATCACAATTGACGGCGAGGCAACACGAAAACTACCAAGAAATCATCAAGATTAACATCACTCTGTAACAATTAAACCTAGCACTAGCTGAAAATTCAATAATCGCCATTCTCAGAAACAATTAGAACATCCACATTATCATATTTCATTTGCATTATTCCAATTGAAAATGAATTACAATTACAACCTAGAAAACAACAATATGAGATGAAAATGTGAGAAGGAGAAATATACCGAAAGAGGAGCCATCCAATTTGAAAATGGTGAGATGAATAGGAACCTGAGAAAGCTTATCATACGAAAAACTCTTCCTGGAACTCACAATCGACAACGCCGTTGAAACCGACGATGAATTCCGACAAAAACTCCGGCGACCTTTCGACGACGACGGAGGCGCCTCAAACGGAACCCTAGACAACTGCAATCCACCTTTTCTACCTTCGCGTTTGCCGAACAATTCATCCTCTCTGTTAACCACCTTGAAGCTTAATCTTCGCATAATCAAAAATGAAATAGACAACAACAATCACCAAAAAAGGTTTCTCTCTCCTTCCTCTACCTCGTTCTCTCTCTTTGTTCTTTGAAGCAGAGCTTTAATGGCGGATTAAGGAGGATTCGTAGATGAGAGAAACACGCAATAAGGAGGATAAAAAATAGAGTATTATGAGATTGCGAAGATTGGATTTGCTTTGGTTTTAGGGCGAAGAAAGGCAATGTAATATTGGGTGGTGATTCTTCTGATTTAGAAAGAGAAAGAGGAGAGAGAAAGTATAGAGAGGATCAGAGTACAAGGAAGGTGATGAATGATGATGCGAATGGTGCCTGGTTTTTGATGCCTGCCTTTGTTCATTTCCCAAATTAGTACACTTGTTTATTTAGGCGGCTTTTTTTAAGTATATACTTCGTAGTAAGAGATGGAGGAAGTAGTATATAATTCTCTCTTTCGGGCTAAGAGAGTGTGGATTTACTATTTAATTCGTATATGTCGTTCAAAAAGTATATGTATATCCGAGTGTATGATAGACTTTTCAGTTTATTTGAGATTTGAATAAATGTGGTGCAATAAAGTTTGTCAATTCAAATGTCAAACAATTCACATGTTGTTGGCTTAATTCGAATACGCTCTCCTTATATAAAGAGAAATATGTTCTTTTACAGGATTGATTAGCAAGGGATAAGATGATCTCAACTTACAAAAGGACCTCAATAATATGGTTTCATGATTCAATATAGTGTGAAAGCAAAAGGCCTTGAGAAAATAGACGGAATTTTGATTCATTTCGCTATTATGCGAAAATTTTATTGTACTAAAAAAATAACCCAAACAATCAAACAAACCCTAAAAAATAATTTGTAAAATGATGCGCAAATGATGGGTTGAAGGAAGAAGCCATTATTGAAAATGCTAATGGCATATTGGCATCAAAATATGGGATACTTATCATTTGGTTGGAAATATTAGTACATCATTTCTATTTTTTTTAAAAAATTGTTGATCATTTCATATTTTCATACATGACGATTAAATGTAGAATTTGATCATTTCATCTTTGTTAAAGTACTAGTTTAGGAGTGTTATTTTAATACCTTATTTTATGGGTAATGTTATATATAGCCCTTAGGGCTACATATAACAATTAAATATACCCTTGAAAATTGTATAAAATTAGGAATTCATGACAAAAATACGCACAAATCAGTGTAATTAGTGTGTTTTTGTCATGATTTCCGAAATTAAAACAATTTTCTAGAGTATTTTTAATGCTTATATATAACCCTTAGGGCTATGTATAAACATTAAATATACTCTTGGAAATTGAATAAAATTAGGAATTTATGATAAAAAAACATGTAAATAAGTGTTTATATTTTCATGATTTCTCAACTTTTTACGATTTTCAAGTGTAAAATTTCACTAATTAGAGTGTAAAAGTGGCAAAATATCAGACTAATTAGATTGTAAAAGTAGCAAAATAGTAACTTTTTATCACACTTGGATTGTAAAAAAATTACTATCAATGTCTAAACAAAGTGGCAAAAAGAAAAAAAAAAAAAAAAAACAATTTTTCAGCATTTGTAAACATATTTTGTCAGGGGAATTTATGTTACACTGTTTAAGCGATCACATGTTATTTCCAAATAAACAATTTCCCGCTTCATTTCTATAACTAACCATAAATTGAAAGTTCAATCTATGAGATACTATTACATTATTATTTCTTACTTCGTATTATACACCTATATATATACTTTCTACAGTTCCTATCACTTGTAACATTTTACACATACAATCATTTCCTCTGTTTTCTTTCAAACCTTCTTTTCTTCTTCAAGTTCATACAACAATTTCCAAGAAAACCAAAAAATGAATAATGTGGTTGCCTTCACAAAAGCAAAATTCACTTTTGAGGGAAAGTCTAGCGATAAAAAAAGGCAATTCTGCTTTACTTGTGGAGGAAATAGGTTGACCAAAAACTTGGCTAATGAACATATTGAAGAGGGACATAAAGTAATTCAAGTACATGAAATTAAAAAGTGGGGTGGTTTTAGCTACAAAACCGCAGAGATGAAGAAGTTACTGGTTTTCGACGACTCGGGAATCCAGGTTCATCACTATAGTAACAAATATGACGTGTGTTACATTCATCGAAAACGTCAGTAATGTATGATGAGTGTTTGAACTGTAAGTGTAAGATTCACATCGAAAAGAATGTATTGTACTGTTCAATGTCTTGCAAACTGGAATGTATGAAGAAGGGAAGTCGTGGACTGGAGGCGAAAAACAAGAGGAAGGAGATAGAGCTTGGTGAAAGTTCTGGACTATCAGTGATGGAAAAGGCCAAGATAGTCGTGGACTCGGGGGCGATGAAGAAGAAGGCGATACAACTCGGTGGAGGTTCTGGTCAATCAGTGATGAACAAGGCCAAGAAGATTGTTGTAGAATCGAAGGGCAAGATAGCCGTGCACTCGGGAGCAATGAACAAGAGGAAGGAGATACAAATCGGTGGAGGTTCTGGTCAATCAGTTGTGAACAAGGCCAAGAAGATTGTTGGAGAATCGAAAAGCAAGAAAGTCGTGGACTTGGGGGCGATGAACAAGAGGAAGGAGATACTACTCGGTGGAGGTTCTGATCAATCAGTGATGAAAAAGGCCAAGAAGAATGCTGGAGAATTGAAGGCCAAGAATTTGGCAGCGGAGGAGGGGGAGGAGAAGAGCAAGAAAGTCGTGGACTCGAGGGCAAAGAACAAGAGGAAGGAGATAGAGCTCAGTTCTGATCAGTCAGTGATGAACAAGGCCAAGAAGAATGATGGAGAATCAAAGGCTAAGAAAGTCGTGGACTCGGGGGCGAAGGACAAGAGGAAGGAGATACAACTTGATGGAGGTTCTGAACATTCGATGATAAAGAAGGACAAGAAAATGATGGTCGAGAAGCGACAAGCTTGAACTAGCTCTATCCTTTGTTGAGGCAGTTAGTTAGTATGACAGTTGAATTTTATAGTAAGTATGACATTTGATTTTTACAATTGAGTTAGTTGATTAGTGTGACAGTTACAGTCCAATTAGTATATTTGATCATCTTTGTTACAAGTTTAGGAGTGTTAAATTTCAGTATATATTAAGACTCATGTAGTAGTTAAATGTTGGATTCACAATTAATGAAATAATTTAGATTTTAGATTTCGTTATGTTTCAATTATGGCTTTATTGTTACTGCAGTACTGCATCAATCAATTTCTTCCAATTTTCTTGCGTACTCTGTGTATTTTTCTAAATCGATTCATTAAGCATTTTATTGTACGTAATAATGTTAGTGTTGAATTATAATTTACGTTTATGATTTTGCCCAAAAGTTATTGAGTAATTTGGGTAATTCATCAATTGGGTTTGGTCATTTGATCATTTGAATACTCTGTTTTATGTTTCGGCAACAAGTATCATATATATTAAGACGGAATAGAGACTCAAACAAGTAATAAGAAGTCACTACATTTTCGAAACAAAGCTAGATAAAAGTTTGATTTGGAGGAGCATGAACGAGATCTTTTTTCTTGACAAGTTCTGTTTTTCTGGGTACAAACATCTACAGTTAAGTATTGCTGTTGACTAGTTCAGTTAGTTAGTTAGGCAGTTGAGTCAGTTAGTATTGTTGTTGAGTTAGTTAGTGTGACGTGTTAATTTAGTATGACGATTGAAGGTAGAATTTGATCATTTCATCTTTGTTACAGTACTAGTTTAGGAGTGTTATTTTAATACCTTCTTTTATTAGATTTATGAATAAAAAAAGGTTGTTTCAGTATTAAGACTGATTTTTTTTTTTTTTTTTTTTTTTTTTTAAGAAAAGTATTAAGATTGATTTAGTTGGTTTTTCTGAATTCACAATTATTAGTTTCTTGATTCAAATGTAAATCAGAGATTCTTTTGTAGTAGCGCAATCATTTCTTATTGGAAGAAAATCTGGGTAATTTTGTTTAAGTTGTTCGATTAACTACCATTTCTATAAAATAGTCACATTAGTGTTAGAGTATAGATGTACTTGTATAATGAAAGTTTATTCAGTAATCTTGATAAATTTCTTGAGCAAATCTATAGGTTATATATATTATTATAGTTTATATTAAATTGCATTCAGTATATATATATATATATATATATATATATATATATATATATATATATATATATATATATTTATTTATATTGTAATTTGAATGCTTTGCGTGAAGCAAAATTTGATATTGCTAAACTGCCATATGATTCAATTGATTCATAGTCCGTGCATATCATTATACAAAGTGAACAAGTTAAACGAAATCCATCAATAGTCTTTCTCTGTTCTTAATTGGAAAATGATTACTTTGCTTCATTGGGAAATCGAGATCTCATGATTTGTAGTATTTGAGAAATATCATGTTTGATGAATAATATGATGAATTTTGACGAAAGAATTGGATGAAAACATGTACACAAGTTCAAGACAATCAAAACATTGTATATAAACAATGTAAAAGTCAACACATGTTAACTAAGCTCGAAAAAAATAATAAAAAAATTAAAATAAAAAAAATTAAATTAAAAAATAGAGGTGTATTACATGCGTTCACCTGATAATCGTGGACCCTTATTGAAAATGTTACACTAATTATATTGGTAAAGCTTAGACTGCCAACATGAATGTTGTTCCCACCATTAATAAAGTGATGCATATCTGGAAGATCCATTGAAGTGCTATTTAAATTTTATCTTTTCAATGGTCATTATAAATAATATTTAATTGTTAATTATCTTTTATTTTCATAGATTTCGTTATGAGATTAGTTAATCTTTTGTTTTTACAATATTTCAAAGTTAATTTTGCCTCTATAAATTAAAGAGCTTTAGGTTGTAAGAGAGAATTAAATCTTGTTACAATTTGATCTTACTTAAATTTAAAATATATTTTTTTTAACACAAGTATGAATAACATGTCAATAAATTTCAGCAATAAGCAAGTATGAATACAGTTCCTCCAAAGGTATAAGGGATTCCATTCCGAAATAGCCACTCATCATTGCTGAAATAAATACAGTTCCTTCTGCAGTTATGAATACGCGATGCACGAATCGACATCGAAGTATTACTCCCTAGGATCATTGCAACATCACCCAAGTCATTGACTTGCACCCAAATTTTGGTCTCAAAGTTGAACTTGTATACCTTAAAATTAATCGTCTGATACTCCCAAGTAGGATCGTCGTAAAGCTCCATTTTGTATCTGAATACCATCAACCATGGCATTGTCCTAGTCCAATTATTTTTGGCCGTAGAATATGCATACTGCCATATCTTGAATTTATAATATCTAATTATGGATAAATTTATGTTATGATAATATCTAATTATGGATGACTATTATCCCATGTACAATCTAGAATATTCTAGAGTTGGGTATTTGGTCTTATCCATTGATGGAACCCTAGGTAATGTACATTATATATATCCCGTACTAGATGGAATATGAAATACAACGTAACAATCTTCCCTTATCTCTCTTTATTTTCTCTTCCATATTTAACACGTTATCGGCACCATTGTTAGTCAACTGAGTAGGATTACCAAACATTTATCTAGAATCCCATGTTATTATTATCATGTAAGTATGATCGCAGCCCATAACAATTATAATTTAACATTTATCTACTTTTGATTGGAATATCAACATATATAACGAATACAGAACATGATATATAATTTAAGGTTTCATTTTTATTTTTCTCCATGCTAACATTCTCCCCTTCTATTTCGTTCTTATTTATGCATGACTTGTATCAGGTTTATTTATGCATGATTATAACGTTTAGTACATATTTTGGATACTATTTATATATACTTATCTTTTAATATTATTTTGTATAGTGAAAAATGTCGAACCTTGCCAAGCTCGAATTTGTGGCCCTTGATATTACCGGAAAGAATTATTTATCATGGGTGTTAGATGCTGAAATACACCTAGATGGGGCTTGGTGAAACAATAAAAGAGATTAATAAGGCAACACCTCAAGATAAGGCTAAAGCCATGATTTTTCTTCGCCATCACCTCCATGAAGGGCTCAAAAATGAATATTTAACTGTAAAAGACCCACAAATCCTTTGGAGTAATCTAAAGGAAAGGTATGACCACCAAAAAACAGTGATACTCCCTAGAGCTCGTTATGAATGGTTGAATTTGAGATTGCAAGATTTTAAATCTGTTAGTGAATATAACTCAGCTATGTTTAAAATAACTTCTCAATTGAAATTATGTGGAGAAAATATTACTGATGCAGAAATGCTTGAAAAGACATACTCTACTTTCCATGCTAATAATATTGTCCTGCAGACACAATATAGAGAAAAAGGTTTTAAAAAATATTCTGAATTAATATCTTGTCTTCTTGTGGCTGAGCAAAATAACGAGCTGTTAATGAAAAATCATGAATCACGTCCTACTGGCTCTACTTCATTCCCTGAAGCGAATGTGACAACCCATAACGGGAAAGAAACTAAAAACAGAGACCATTCCAGCAGTAATGGTCGAGGTAAAGGTCGTGGTCGTGGCCAATGGCGCGGCCGGGGTCGTGGACGTGGATATGGTAGAGGTCGTGGAGGTCATTTCACAAACTCACATTCCCACCAGAAGTGGGAATGAAGGGATGAAAAAGAGAAAAGTGATAACAATATATGTTACCGTTGTGGAGGAAAAGGTCATTGTTCTCGGGTTTGTAGAACTCCAAAGCATCTTATTGAACTTTACCAAGAATCATTGAAGAAAGGAAAGAAAGTTGAGGCAAACCTTATTCTTGAAGATGGTGAAGGTGATTTTGATTTTGGCAATGCCAATCAATTTGATGTTGGTGATTTCCTTACTTCCCCGGAAGGGAATAATTTTGATTTTGGCAGTACAACTCATTTAGAAGTTGCCGATTTCTTCACTGCCCCAGAAGGGAATAATTAAAATTATATTGTTTTATGTCAGTTTTAAGTATTAGACTTATGCTTGCTTATTCTAGTGATTTATTTAAGTTTATTTCTTTCGTTGCAATAAGGATTTTTGCTTTATAAATTTAAGAACTATTTGAGTGTTTTTATTGATTTATGTATTTTATCATCTTTATTTTTATAATTAATATTTTGACATGTATTTTATTTCATGAAGAACATGGATATAACTCAAGTTCGATTTGCTATGAATGGTGAAGAATTATGTCTTGCTGACAGTGCAACTACTCATACAATACTTAAAAATAAAAAATATTTCTCTCATTTGATGATGAAAAGAACTAATGTGAGTACCATATCGGGTAGTACAAATATCATTGAGGGCTCCGGAAGAGCCACTATAAAGTTGCCTTGGGGAACTGAAATTAAAATAATTGATGCTTTATACTCCCCATTGTCTCAAAGAAATTTATTAAGTTTTAAGGATATTCGCAACAATGGTTATCATATTGAGACAATCAATGAAGAAAATAACGAATTCCTTCAAATCACAAATATAACTCAAGGCTCAAAACATGTTTTGGAGAAACTACCTACATTCTCTAGTGGTTTGTACTACACAAAAATCAATGCTATTGAAGCTCATGCTATGGTAAACCAGAAGTTTACTGATGATTTTGTTGTTTGGCGTGACCGGTTAGGCCATCCCGGTTCAATAATGATGCGAAAAAATAATTACGAATTCATGTGGACATTCTTTGAAGAGCCAGCAGGTTCTTCATAATAATTTTTCATGTGCTGCTTGCTCGGAAGGCAAGTTGATTATTCGCCCATCACTAGCAAAAATTAATTTTGAATCAATTAGTTTTCTGGAACGTATACAAGGAGATATTTGTGGGCCCATACATCCCCCATGTGGACCATTTAGATATTTTATGGTTTTAATTGATGCATCAACTAGATGGTCACATGTGTCTTTGTTATCAACTCGTAACCTGGCGTTTGCGAGATTACTTGCCCAATTGATTAAGTTACGGGCACATTTTCCAGATACTCCCATTAAGACTATTCGGCTTGACAATGATGGTGAATTTACATCTCAAGCTTTTAATGATTATTGCATGTCCATTGGGATAAATGTTGAACATCCTGTAGCACATGTTCATACACAAAACGGTCTAGCAGAGTCATTAATAAAACATATTCAGTTAATTGCTAGACCATTGCTTATGAAATCTAATCTCCCAATTTTTGAATGGGGACATGCTATATTACATGCAACAGCACTAATTCGCATTAGGCCAACAAGTTATCACAAGTTCTCCCCATTACAATTGGTTTATGGTCATGAACCAAATATTTCCCATCTAAGAATTTTTGGATGTACGGTTTATGTTCCAATAGCTCCACCACAACGCACTAAGATGGGTCCTCAAAGGAGGTTGGGGATATATGTTGGGTTTGAATCCCCGTCAATAATTAAATATCTTGAGCCTACAATAGGGGATTTATTTACGGCTCGTTTTGCAGATTGTCATTTTAACGAGTCACTTTTCCCAACATTAGGGGGAGAAAAGAGAAAGCTGGAAAATGAAATTAAATGGAATGAATTATCATTATCCTATCTTGATCCTCGAACTAAACAATGTGAACTGGAAGTTCAAAAGATAATTCATTTACAAAGTTAAGCGAATCAATTGCCAGACTCGTTTGTTGACCCAAAAAGAGTGACCAAGTCACATATTCCAGCTTTTAATGCTCCATTTAAAATAGATTTCCCGGAAGGACAAAATAAAATTGCTAATGAGTCTAAACCATGCCAGAAACGTGGAAGACCAATAGGTTTCAAAGATAAGAATCCTCGGAAAAGAAAAGGAGCATTGATTGATGATGGTCAAATTGAAGAAACAATTTCCGAAGGATCTCCAGAAGAGACTTTAGACATGATACAAGAAGAAATTCAGGTACCTGATAATGAAGAAATTTCAATAAATTATATCATGTCTGGAATTACATGGAACCGAAATCAAATCGACGTCGATGATGTTTTTGCATGCAGTGTAGCATTAGATGTTATGGATAATAATGAGGATTATGAACCAAAATCCATTGAATAATGTAGACAAAGAAATGATTGGCCAAAATAGAAAGAAGCAATTGAAGCAGAAATAAAATCTCTTGGAAAAAGAGAAGTATTCAGACCAGTAGTCCGTACACCTGAAGGTGTAAAGCCAGTGGGATATAAATGGGTCTTTGTGCGAAAGAGAAATGAAAAGGGTGAAGTTGTAAGATATAAGGCACGCTTAGTTGCACAAGGATTCTCACAAAGACCTGGTATTGATTATAAGGAGACATATTCTCCTGTGGTTGATGCAACTACTTTTAGATTTTTGATTAGTCTGACAATAAGAGAAGGACTTGACTTACGTTTGATGGATGTAGTCACAGCTTATTTATATGGCCCACTGGATAATGACATTTACATGAAGCTCCCAGAAGGATTCAAGCTGTCGGAAGCAGCAAAATCTAGTTCTCGAGAACATTTCTGTATTAAATTGAACAAATCTCTTTATGGATTGAAACAATCTGTGCGTATGTGGTATAACCGTCTAAGTGAGTATTTGTTGAAAGAAGGTAATAAGAATGATCCTATCAGCCCATGTATTTTTATAAAGAAATTTGGATCAGGATTTGTTAAAATTGCAGTGTATGTTGATGATTTGAATATCATTGGAACTCCTGAAGAAATTTCAGTGACTGTCAATTATTTAAAGAAAGAGTTCGAAATGAAAGATCTAGGAAAGACAAAATTCTGCTTGGGATTACAAATAGAGCACCTAAAGAATGGAATCCTTGTGCATTAATCAACATACATAAAAAAAAGGTTCTTAAAAGATTTTCTTTGGATATAACACATCCATTGAGCAGGCCTATGGTTGTAAGATCACTTGAAGTAGAGAAAGATCCATTCCGACCTCGGGAAAATGATGAAGAAATTCTTGGTCCTGAAGTACCGTATCTTAGTGCAATTGGAGCACTAATTTACCTTGCAAGTCATACACGACCTGATATATCATTTTCAGTTAATTTATTAGCAAGGTTTAGTTCAGGTCCAACCCGAAGGCATTGGAATGGGATTAAACATTTACTTCGTTACCTTCAAGGTACGAAGGATATGGGTTTATTTTTTCCAAAGTTGTCCAAAGAAAATTTGATTGGTTTTACAGATGCAGGTTATTCATCTGATCCGCATAATGGTCGATCACAAACTGGATATGTGTTCACATATGGTGGTACTGCCATTTCTTGGCGTTCCATGAAACAAACCATTGCAGCTACTTCTTCCAATCATTCTAAGATTTTAGCAATTCACGAGGCTAGTCGTGAATGTGTATGGTTAAGGTCGGTAGTTCAACATATAAAAGAAGTTTGTGGTTTATCATCTGGGAAAGAGGCACCAACAACTTTATATGAGGATAACGCTGCTTGTATTGCTCAACTTAAGGAAGGATACATCAAAGGCGACAGAACAAAGCACATCTTACCCAAATTTTTCTTCACTCATGATCTTCAGAAGAATGGAGATATAAATGTATTGCAGATTCGCTCAAGTGAGAATTTAGCAGACTTATTTACTAAGGCTCTTCCGACAGCAACATTCAAAAAGTTAGCTTACGACATTGGATTGCGTCGTCTTAAAGATCTCAAGTGATGTAGTCATGAGGGGGAGTTAATGCGCGCTGCACTCTTTTTTCCTTAACCATGGTTTTTTCCCACTGGGTTTTTCTGGTAAGGTTTTTAACGAGGCAGCATATTATGCGCTTATAGTGTATTATTTTGTACGGGTTTTGTAGTAAATGTTAGTTATTGTTTTATTCAATATATAGTCATCTAAGGGGAGTGTTATGATAATATCTAATTATGGATGACTATTATCCCATGTACAATCTAGAATATTCTAGAGTTGGGTATTTGGTCTTATCCATTGATGGAACCCTAGGTAATGTACATTATATATATCCCGTACTAGATGGAATATGAAATGCAACATAACAATCTTCCCTTATCTCTCTTTATTTTCTCTTCCATATTTAACAATTTAGACTTCTTTTTTTTTTTTTTTTTTGGACAAGATAATAAATTTAGGGTTATATGGCGGCAAGATAAAGTTTGTTCCTATTTCATAACAAAGCAAACCTACAACAATTAGGAAACTAATCCTAAACAACTTCATGCATAACATACTATTCATGATAATACAATTTGCAAATCAAGTATACAAATTAGGAATTCACTTCATGGGGAGGACTAAAAACAAGAAACAAGAAAAAGGTGTTTCCACTTTTCTGTTGTTGGTTTTCAAAATTATTATGGTTTTAATAAGCTTAAATAATTTTTGATTCATTATGTGACATATATAATATACTTTTAAAAAACAAAAAACCAAAAAAAGAAAACCACAGCGATGCCAAACGAACCCTACGTGTTCAGTTTTAATTTTTTAAGGATAACGTGATCCGTTTGAAGGATATATTTAAATAAAATTCAAAAAAAAAAGAAAAGATTTTTTGGTTGTTTATTTGGAATCATGAGTGCGAAACAAAGACGTGCAAGAATAATAGTAGTGAATATATATATGACTGAATTCCACAAGGAAATTTTTATACTTCCTCTCTCAACTTCTACATTTCCATAAAATAAAATTCTTACAAAAAAAAAAAAAAAAAAAAAAAAAAAAAAAAAAACAGCAAAATACAAAAATGCAGCAAATCCTTGTTGATTTTGTGAACTCAGGATTCAGTTCCGAAAGAAATGGCGGAGACAAAAAATATTTCTATTTTACCTGCGGAGGTTTTTCGTTAACAGAAATAGAAGCTAGGGGATTTCATGAAGATTTACGACTCGGGAATACAAGGGCATGATCATGGTAATGCATTCAAGGTTTGCTATATTAATCCAAAGTCTCTGCATTCTTCCATCTATCATGGAGAGTGTTCTTCATGTGGTTATTATATCAAGGCAGATTTTGTTTACTGTTCAATGAGATGTAAGCTTATGGCATTGATCAATAATGGAGGAATTGTGCTGGACCTGCTGCTGGCGGCGGAGGAGACCAAGAAGCTGCTGGCGGAGAAGAAGTGCAAGAACCCGTCGGAGGAGGAGACCAAGAAGCTGCCGGCGGAGATGAAGTGCAAGAACCCGTCGGAGGCCAAGAAACTGGCGGCGGAAGCAGCGGAGATGGAGGAGGCCAAGGCCAAGAAAGTGACAGCGGCAGCAGCGGAGTTCGAGAAGTCCAAGAAAGTGGCACGGAGGAGAAGGCGGCGTAGACAATGACGAGCTTAAACCACCTCTGTCGAATTTCTTCGAAGTTCTGTTTTTCATGGCAAACTTTGATCATGTATTTTGCAATTGGCTTGTGAATAAACGTAGGTTGTTTTGGGTATTAAGACTAATTTAGTTGGTAAATTTCTTCGAAGTTCTTTTTTCATGGTAAACTTTGATTAAGTATTTTGCAATTGGCTTGTGAATAAATGTAGGTTGTTTTGGGTATTAAGACTCATTTAGTTAGTAAATACTACATGTATGTTTTTCTGACAATTATTACTTTGTTACACTAATCTGTGTAATTTTGTCCAAGTTTTTTGATTAATAGTGGCGTTATTGTTAGAGTATAAATGTATAATCAAAGTTTATTGAGTAATCTTGATAATTTTCTTGAGTTATCCAATACCCTGTTTTTTCTTTTCTTGACAAATATATATTGTATAAATGCTTAGCTTAATCATTCAAGTAACTATTAAAATCTACACTTTTCAAGTACTCTTGTAGTTATTAATCGTCAAAAACATACTTTTTTAAGCTACGGTGCATATCATTTTACAAAGTGAACAAATTAAACAAAATTGATCAATCATCCTTCTCTGCTATCTAAGCATTTCAAATGAGAGTTTTTAAGTTATGGAATTACCTACGAAAAACACAATTATTTTAAGGACATGTTTGGTTGCAAAAATAAATAAAGAAAAGTGAAAATCATGGGAATTTTAAACAAGAAGGGTTATTTGGTTAACATTAAATAGTGTAAATAAGGAAATTGCAAAGTCAAGGAAACTGCAACTTCCCACAAAACATGGTAATATTGGAACAGTCATAATAAATAAGGGTTCGTTTGACATCAATGTGATTTTCTGTTTTTTGGTTTTTTGTTTTTTAAAAGTATGTTATATATGCTACATAATGATTCAAAAATTATATAGACTAATTAAAATCACGATAATTTTGAAAACTGACAACAGAAAAGTGGAAACACCTCTTTCTTGTTTCCTGTTTTTGGTTTTTAGTTTTCAAAAAAATAGGAAACTGAAAACCAAAAATGATGCCAAACAAGCCCTAAACTACTTATTTTCAATTATTATACGGAGTATTATATAGAGTGCTTAATTGATAATTAGAGATATAATTAATAAAAAAATTTACATTGGCATAGAGCAAGTAATAAAATCAAAGGGAGTGATTCAATACTACAAATGCAAATGTTGATGCCAAGGCCTTCAACCAACCTATTACTTGCCAACAAAGGATACACAGAACCATTGAATGAAGCAATAGACAGCAAAGTTCATATATCCCCATATTAGCATCATACACATTTCAAAAGGGCCAAAAATTCATTATTAGGCTATATAACTGAATCTAAAATAGAAACAACTAAATAATCAGCCCCCCTATAAAAGGGTAAAAAAGGGCTACAAAAATCCCTGCTCATATCCACAGAATTCATTAAACAAACCTGCTAGCAAAATCCTATGTATCGCAATAAAAAGTAATAATCCTTTAATAAGTTGAGCATAGGAAAACTACAAATAAAAGTATTTAGTCACTAAGACAAAAACATAACTAGTACAATGAAATCTGACTGCCAGAATTACAAACACTGCTGAACTAAACAGCTCACAGAGCAAACTTCAAAGCCACGGTCAGATTTCTATTTCTATCATCAGCCTTCTCCAAACATGCCTAGTGTTCCACAATGTGATCAAACGATGTAGCGCGTTCAATTATGATGGCACTGCATATCATAGGAAGAAAAAAAATCAGCATACACAATTTACTACAAATAAATATGAAAAGCTCATTTGCACACAACTCGTTTTATACAGCATCATGAATGGATTTTACAGTACTTTGATGTCGATAGAAATATTGTGAAACCACATGATTAAACAAGTGTTAAGGAACAAAAGATATTCCCCTGGAAAGTGAATAACCAAAGGGGTAACATATAAATGCCAAACGAAACAGAACATTTAAGCAAACATGGAAGGAGTGAAGAAATAAAAACATATGCATTATCAGAATAGAAAGCAGCATCACAAACGCAAATCAAAGTCAAAAGGGAAAAACATACACATCAAAAGACAATCATATACATACACAATCTTAAAAATAAAAACACATCAAAAGACATATTCAACAGAATCAACCTACAAGTACATAATTTACAATCATATAACGCGAGAGCACACACAAATTGAACGCCCGAGATGCAAACAACCATAAACAAGCTTTCTATGCAACGATGATAAGCAAACAATAGAACGTACTGTATGTCGAAGTGTCGATCTGCTCTGGAAGTTCTTTAATATCGACTTCAAACCTCTCTTGTACCTGTAAGGTTAAAAGAGAGAAAAAAAAGATGGATTTAAAACCTTTAAACAAAGTTTACCACAACAAAACATTCAAAAGCGATGACTGCTACATTTCATCACATTACAAGAACAAAGCCATAGTTCCAAAATGATATGGGGTTGATTACCATAAATAGTCATAAGGAACCGTCTGAGAAGAAAATGTTACAAGTTACCAGTTAAGAATAAGATTTTTTTGTCAAAAAGTGTATTAAAAAAAATACAGAAATAAAATTTTAGAGTTTTAAAAGGGTACAAAGAATAAAATTAAAGAGACTTTTAAAAGAGTTCCAAGATTAAATATTTAAGGAGTACTAAAAGCGTGGGAGAAAAAACAAAGGTTTGAAAAACTTAAGCAAAGATAAATCAATAAAAATTTATACAGCACAACCTCAGTAAAATAGTACAAGTAAATACTAAAAAAAAATAAACAAATGCAATCTTTGATCACATTACATTAACTAAAATAATAGTACTGTGTACCAATCAACTCATCAGTAAAATAATTACTTAAGTAATCTGAAAAAAATTATAGAGATAAGATAACATATTGGTACATTCAACTATCCAAGACGCCAACAAAAAAATGCAAAGACAGTAAATCAAATAAAAGAAAACAGCTGAATACCATACCTGATTCAATACATCTGAGTCAGAAGCAGATGCCACAAACGTAATTGCAAGTCCCTTAGTTCCGAACCTCCCAGCTCGGCCAACCTGCAGATAATTAATATAAACAAAACAATGTAATCAGCAGGCAAAAGAGAATAAATTGATGGTGTTTAAAAAAAGATGAAAAGAAATTTTCCTACCCGATGCAGATATGTGTCGGCTGAATCTGGCATATCATAATTAATAACAATGTTTACTCTTTCAATGTCAATTCCTCTGCCGACTAAATCTGTAGCAACAAGAATTCTTTGTTTTCCATCCTTAAATCCCTTGTAACGAGCCAATCTACAAACATTCCAATTGAAAATAAGACATTAAACGCAAGAAAAATTTATCAATAATCTTTACTACAAAATTCTACCAAATATAGAATATCATATGTTACAGAATTATAAAGGTATAAAAACTAAAAAAATTGAAAAGGGCATGAACCATATTAAAAGAAAGTAAACTAAAACTCACTTGCAAGTTGCAACACATTAGATTCATACGAAGTATTAACATTTTATTTGCAGCTTACTTACTTGCTTTCTGGGGATAACCCTACTAAATGGTAAACAAAAAATCCTAACAAAAACAAACATGATGCAACAACAAAAACCAGCAAAAATCCCTACTTCAATTAATTGTGCAGGATGATGATCTGTATTTCAACTAACCAGATGACTTCTATACATGTCTGTATTAATAGAACATAGATAGCATTGTCCAGCAGCAAAACATACTGGAGGACTACAAAATAAGCTTTTCAAGACATTAAAAACAAAGAAAGAAGCAAAAACCTTTCTTCCTGGGACATGCCAGAATGGATGCAGATCGAAGGGAAGTTGCACTCCACAAGAAGTTTGTTCAACTCAGCAGCCCTACTGACACTCTTGACAAAAATGACAACTTGATTGAAATCCAGAGCATCCAACAGGTCGTTCAGCTTGCGATTCTTCTCCAACTCGGACAATTTGATGTAGTGCTACAATGCAAATATAAAAAATAAGTTAAGATGAAAACATCCATAGTCAATCCAAAAAAAAATCATGATTTGATTTACACACCTGTACAAGACCATGAAGGGTCAATTTGGCTTCGTCATCCACATATATTTCCATCGGCTGAAAGGAAGAAATGTCACAGTAAAGCATATTAGGGGCATCTCCAATCGAAAGGAATCCATATCAAATGAAGATGGTTGAAGATCCCTCTCAGATCCACAGATGTCTCCTTGAAGATACTTGATATCACAGAGCTAGCACAACATTGCTTTACAGCCAATTACTAGCCCATCTTGGATCACATCATCTATAAACTAGGATTCTTCTCCAAGGATGACAATAGTACAGAATACCCTTAAGCCCAGACCACAACTACTCTCTAAAATATACACTCACATGACCACCAAGTAACAGTCAAAACTCAAAGAAACCCAAGCCCTTAGAACAACATAAGACCTGACAAAAAGAAACTGAACTGATGGAAAATAGTCGAACCAAGTCACAGAGAACCTCCCAATAAAGCCTACACTACGCTCACCCTAGCCTACCCCAAAGTTCCAAGTATCTTTGTTTACTCAAAAGACGAGAAGTGTATCAAAGAGAGGGAGCATTTTAGACCATAACATCTATAAACCTAGGTAGATATCTTCTGCAGAAAGCTTGGAAAATTGAAGACTTCAAATTCAATAAGAACTGGCCACGAGACATTACATCTTGCATAAATTTCTTGCAAACAGGTCGGATTGCCTTGCTAAGAGTTGCAGAAAACATCATCACTTGCTTGTCATGGGGTGTCATTTTAAAGATCTCTTGCACATCTCTCCTCATGTCTGCATGGAAGGGAAAAAAAAAAGAGAGAGAGAGAGACCAGGCACTTAGTAAAAAAAAAATACGACATCACAACATAAATGAAACCTGGAAAGCAGGAAATGCAAGAATGAACATGCATAAGAAGCATACCCAGTGACTCAAGCATCTTGTCACACTCATCAAGAATAAAGTGTCTGACATTCTTTAGTGACAGATCTTTGTCTCTAGCCAATGCAAGGATCCTTCCAGGAGTACCCACCACAATGTGAGGGCATTCATTCTTGAGCAGATCCTTGTGAATTTTTATGTTGACACCTCCATAGAAAACAGCAACCTTAATACCAGGTAAATATGTGCTGAACCTCTCGAACTCGTGACATATCTACAGCAATTAGATTAAAGAGTATGTGTCAGCTAACTTTAATTACTAGCTTTCAAATGAATATTGCCAACTTAAATTTAATAATTATTGAAAAAGGCTCAGGATAATAAATACCTGATATGCCAATTCTCTAGTGTGACAAAGAACAAGTGCAGCAACTTGTCCAGCCACAGGATCAATCTGTTGTAGGGTTGAGAGAACAAAGACAGCGGTCTTCCCCATACCAGATTTGGCTTGACAGATGACATCCATACCCAAAATAGCTTGAGGAATACATTCGTGTTGCACTGAGGAAATACCAAAAAATTGGTGCGAGGGAACCCGCAGTGAGTAAAATATGACCTCCTGGTCCTTGTAATTGAAATGTTTACCAGACCATTTTAACATCTCCAAGTTGAGTGAATAAGTTAATTACCTGAAAAGGCATAACAGAAATTTAGAACTATCCCTATCATGAGCTTAAGAAAAGTAAAATCAGAATGTAACAATCATATAGTTGGGTCTATATAACTTGGCCAAAAAATAATACTTCATAATCATTTATTAACAACCATCCAACATAGAGGGAAACAATGGACAAAATTCCACCAGAGATACTCAGCATAATGAAGGCAAGGTTATTAACTATGCTACCAACATTCATAAGATAAAACAATAATTGGCCAATTCTGACCAGAGCCGCAACAAAACAGCAGCTATCAGTGCAAAGACATAGCACTTGCCTTCGGATGGATGCTCAAAACCAGAATCGACAATTGCGCGCAGCAGCTCTGGTTTCAGCAAGAAGTCTCTGAATCCTGAACTGTAGATTCCAATGTAACCCCTATGATAGAACAAAAAACATTCGATCAGCAAAACAACTCCATTTTTCAAATTAAACTCCATTTTTAAAATTTGACAAACAAATTTACAGACCATATTGAATATAAATCCACAAATATATAGATATAAATACAAAATTTAGAATTCAACCAAAGTAAACTATAAAACCAAATTGAAAAACGTTATCACCCTAATAAGTTTTCTCTATCATAATTAAACCGTCGTAACTTCAACAGTATCAATTTATATCCATACATCAATATCAAAAGGACTTAATTCACATTGCGCAAGATATACAGCCCCAATATAAAAAGAATTAATCAACAAATTCAAATAATTTCATAAGATCTGAGCCTAAAGTCAAATTTCTATCCTTTATAAAACCCTAATTTAACAAAATACAAATTTCGATTGAACAAATAAATCATAAACTATAATAATAATAATAATAGAAAACTACATCGATAAAACAGGAGTGTAAAAAATCGTACTTTTTAGCGGCTTCGCCGTTAGCTTTGGTGACAGCGGGATCTGGAACCTTCTCTTCTTCCTCGTCGTAATCAAGAAGCTCCTCTTCATAAGCATCATTTTCTTTGGTTTCTCCCATAGTAATCTAAAACACAAACAAATTCAAATCAAATTAGGGTTTTCAAAATCAAATCAAACAATAATTAAACAAGATCCAACCCAGAAGAAACAGAAATTACAAGATTAATTAAGAGAAATCGAAGAATAATACCTTCGGTAGTAGAAATTAAGAACTAGGGTTAGGGTTCATTCGAACGTCTGCAAAGGAAAAGGTTAGACGAAAAAGGGAGATTGAGGAGAGAGAAATTGAAGGATGAGGTGATAATAGGGTTTATAAGGGAGAATGAAATGGGTTTTTTTTGGACGATTTTATCCTTGTTGGTTGTGAGTAATTGTGAGAACTGCCATCGGAGGCGGCAGATAATCGTAGGGATAAAAGTTGGACAGAGGAAATAAATCAACGGTTAAGATTTAGTACTTGATTTGTAACTCTTATTGGTTCTTGCCTCCAATATTCAATATTTTTGTACTCTGTAATTTGTAACTGTATAGTGTATACATCAATATTCAATATCAATACTATTTTTTTAGGAAAATATCAATATCAATATCAATATCAATTCTTGTCAAAAAAAAAAAAAAAAAAAAAATCAATATCAATTAGTATGTATTTATCCTTTTTTTCATGTAAGTTTTTTTTTTTTTTCTATATTTTTTGGTTTTTCTCTAAGGGAAAAAATGATTAAGAAATACAGTGCTAATCAATTCTTTCAGTCATAATTAGTTGGAGCTTATTTGTTTTGACTCTATTCTTCGTAGGGCCTCCTTACCTTAGCGGAACTTTACTTGAAATACAATTACTGCTAACATTTTTCCTCAAAAAAAAATCAATTCATTTTTTTTCTTTTAAAAAAAAAAGAGAAATACTTGTCAATTATCACGTAATCAACGCGTAAGTTTTTCATAATTTAACTTACAATCATACGAATTACAACGAAATCTATCTTCTATAATAACTAATACTAAAGTAGAAACCGCTGATGTCATCTTTTTTCAAAGTTGTACACGTGGCGCTATTTTATGAAAAAAATTTCCGCTCAAATGCTTTTTTTAAAAAACAAAATGCTAATTAATTATAAGCAGATTGTGTAGCTATTATTTAGGTCCTGTTTGGCAAAAGTAGCGGTAGCGGGTAGCTTTTAGCGGTGGAGTAGCGGGTAGCTTTTAAGGTAGCGAGTGCCGAGTAGCGGTCAATTAGTAATGGGTAGAGGTTAGCTGTCAAAGTAACGGTTGTAGCGGTTGCAATACCAAAATATATCAAAATTCATATAAATATTGTTTTAAAAGTAAAAATAATTTCCAAATGCTACTCGCTACTTCTAAACGCTACTATTTTCAACGTTTGAGAAAAGCTACCTAAACGCTACCTCTATCGCTAACCACTACTAGAATCGCTACCTTGCCAAACACTCTTGAATTTTTTCTAATAGTGTTTTGAGTGGTCAAAACGTTAACCGCTACCTCAAACACTAGCACCAAACAGAGCCTTAGGTAATTTACTTAAAATAAGTACCTATTACTTTGGTGATTTATGTTGATATTGGTTGTTGGAGTCTTTATAAGAGTTGTTATCATAGTTGAGGTCAATTAATTGAACTTATGAACTTAAAAAAAATTACAAAAATTCAAATATAAATTACTGGTAAACCCGTGCATCGCACGATTACTAACCTAACATACTATGATTCCTCAAAATATGTATATGTATATGTATATGTATATGTATGTATATGACTTTGCTAATATAATGCAAGAAATTTTAGTCTCACCCATTTTGTCCCCTTGGCTTGTGACCTCTTAAACTTTTCAACCTATCTTCTCCATTGTTGTTATTTTGTCGTACTACCACTTCTACGTATATGTAATGAATTACTCTTTACAATAATTTTAACTTCTATAAAGTGTATGTTTAAGTGTATAATATTTATAGTAATAGTCAAAGTTTTAAAAACAATACATATCTATTACGAGTAACATTAATACCATACAAAATAATAATTCTTGCAAACAAAGAACTCATCTTATTTCTTTCTTGCAAATATCATAGCATGTTATTTTACAATAACTATTCCATGTGTTATGAAATGTGAACCTCATAATGTAATTGTAGGAAATTTAGCATTACTAGTTCTTAATAAACTCATCCATTTGGCGTTGAAGCAAAAATGTGGATTTTGATTTAGGATGATAGATATGATGTATATGACCTTCATCTTTGGCTTCAATCAACTTCACATCCCTAACCCCTTTTCTTTTAAGGTATTCAACATACATCACCCCTCTTTCTTTTAGAAAATCGCGTTCCGCCACATAAACCACCACCTTTGGAAATAAACTCCATTCATCATGTTTAAGTCCACCCTTCTCAAAGTTACACCCAAAATAGTCGCGATTTGATCCCTTAGGTATGCTTAAATTCCAAAACATATCATTCATTTGTACTTCTATGCCACTATCAGCTGCCTTTTCTTGAGGAGTTCTTTCCTCACTACCAAAATAAGGGTGTATTAGTAAGATCCCTTTTATATGAATGCCACTTAAGTCATGATCTTCACTTGTATGAGCTTTTATGGTGATATTATGTGCAATATTCCCACCCGCGCTATCCCCTGAGAGAAACACTTGTGAAAGGTCAGCTCGTTCAAGCCATGGCTCGGTGTAGCAGCTCTTTACTAGCCACTCAAGAGAGCTACAACCATCGGAGTAGGCTATTGGAAGTCGATTCTCAGGAGCAAGGCGGTAGTCAATAGACAAGACAATTACTCCTGCTAAAGAAGCTAAGTCTCCTAAAAATATATGGTAGTTAAGCCATGTTGTTGAACCTATACAAAACCCACCCCCATGGAAATAAACTACCACAGGAAGCTTATGAGTCGAAGAGTTTATTGTTGGTGTGTTAGGAAGGAAAATTCTTCCTGTTATAGGTTTGGATGGATCAACGACTACGTCTTTTGACTTGTAACTTTCGGAAGATTCTGGTGAGGCAAAGGCGATGTCTGGAGCAAAACGCTTCACAGTCCCATCAGAAAATACTTGCAGGAAACCTGGTGCTTCAGCAATAAGAGACATTGTATGATTCAAAAAGGGTTGTCGTTTGTTTCGCTGATGCCTGAAACTATTTATACCCGGAGAACGGATGAGGTAAAGGGTTAGAAATTAAGATGTTGGAGAAAGCTTGGTGCTTTGGCAATAAAAGGACAGACGTTTTGAGTGAAAAAATTTCATATTCTTAGAAATAAATTAGTTGGAGAGTAGATAAGATGGATGAATCATTCAAAGATAGTCCGAATTGTGACAGAAATTGATAAAATAGATGGATGATAAGTTGGAGAGTAGATAATATAGGTAGCAAAGCACAGAAATTGTGACAGAGTAATATCAGATAAATCAGCAGGCACAAGAAGAATTTAAGGTAAAGTATATAATAGCAGGGTAATAGGCAGTAGGATTAAAAATTTACCGCGCCAGGTAGGGGTCGAACCTACGACCTTCTGCTTAGGAAACAGACGCTCTATCCACTGAGCTACAGGCGCCGTAATTGATAAAATAGATCAGCTGAAATGATCCATTCTCAAGTAGAGAAAGAAAACATGAGTTAAAAATACACTGTTATTAAAGTAGAAAATAGGTAATATAATGATAAAAAGACTGCACAATTACCATCTAACTTTAGATCCTTTTTGTACATCACCAACAAATTAACATTAGTTGTTACTCATTAGTCCTGCCCGAACTAACAGTGAAATGACCCGTACAAGCTGAAAGATCATCCTTCATTCTATCCACGAAGAAAGGTGCTTATACAGTGATCTTACTTACAGCAATGACAGTTTTGAACCAAATCAGAACTACAAAAAACACACAGAAATTGGAAAAAGGCCTTGTAAATCGGACAGCATGTCAGCCTAAAAGGGATTTTTCTTGCTCACTCTACTTGGCAGCTTGCTCTACAAAAGGGATTTTCTTCCAAGTTTCTTCCTCCAAAGTGCTACTATCTAACGGGGGCAACGAAAATGCATTCACAGTGGAGCTTCCACCTCGGATTTCTTTCAAAACTCGTAAGGCTGAGAGAGTAAGCTTCATGTACATATTCTCCATATGCTCAATTTCTGATATCTCTTTATCGGCAGTAAGCAGCCTTTCTTTCTTTGTGCTGCCAGAATTTGACTCAGAAGCTTCACCTGTATTGGCTACTTGGGATGCTTCATGTGCTTCATTTTGTGAGAAAAGGCGATCGAGAGTGGCTTCACATTCTTTTACAAGCTTGGATATGGTGTCGTTTGTGTAGAATGGCTCTTGCAAAACCTTTTGGATGAACGGCAAGCGTATTAGATTACCACTACGCTTGTCATATTTTTTAAGTATCTTCACCAGACCTGCAAAGACATCAGGGATAAGCACATCAGAAGTGTTTCAACTGCGAGACAACATAGACAAGATGAATATCCAAAGACTTCTTAGCAATTAATCAACACAAACATGCCTTTACTGCACTTCGTTACTAGCTCCATCCATCCCAAATCAAGCCTCTCAAAAGTAAGCATGAAAGAGATGAGGGGAAGGGGTAAAAGTTCAGAGGTTACTGTTCAAAGACAGCAAATGAACCATGACAAATTGTTTTGCAACGAAAATACCATTTTGAAAGTAATTAGAAAGGAACCAAAAAAGGCTTACGTGGGCTATTGGCTTAACCACCAATCCAAGTCATCAATCAAAAAACAAATGACCATATCCATGGAACAACATTTCCACATGTTTAAATTAATCACTTTCTCTTTCACATACTCTGTACTATAACTCAACTTCTAGCACATGAAATGTCATGAGACTTGAAACTTATCAGTATTTTATCCATGGCATCAAGTAAGCTAAGAAAAAGACACTTTCAAACTGAAAAAAAAAAAAAAAAAAAAAAACATGGAATACAACATTCATGAGCAAAGAGATTTTTATATCAAACAGTCAAAGAGTTAAGTGCACTGCATAGTAGTGAATAAAAGTACGGAGTATTAAAATACCAAAGGATAGAGGCAACACCTGTATAATTAAGTGCACTGTAATTTTCCAACAGAACCATTTCTCCATGAAAATCTACAACTTCCCTACCAACTCTCATCAACTCCTCGTTTGAGTGTCTGGCCTCTGCTAACCTGTCTTGCAGCTCCTGCATGAGAAATAGAGATTAGAACTTAATGGATGAAAGGTGGACTATTTACACACTAAAGGATCAAGACCATGCAGATATATCTTCTAATTTCAAGCAATCAGTCATAATCAAGGCAAAGAGCCAATTTTCTCAACTTATACAAAGCAGATGGATTTACAGTTGAAAGTTGAAACACAAGAACGCTGATAAAAAGAATGAGCAACAGAAACAACAAAGGTTAGCGTACCTCAAGAATTTTTTTAAATTACAGCTAATTATAAAATTGATAAGTAGTCTATAATGGCACTAGAAGCTATTAATTAGCATTCAAAGCCTTAATCCAGGACCTCTTTAAAATAACTTGTAAATAAACGAATAATTAACAAAACGAAAAAGAAATAGAAAAAAGATTGGAATTTCCTTTGAATGGGGCGTTTTTCAAACAATTAGATTGCCATGCAATGCAGTCCCCTCATTTTGATTTCCAACCAGTGAGTACCAAGCATTAGTACCAAACCAGTAAACAACAGAAGCAAATTCTAACCAGCAACTATCATGATGGGATGCCAACTCTCTGAATTATTAAGTATCAATTATCTCTCAAATGCTATCATTTGCAAAAACATAAAGACGGATAAAGGGTAATGTTCTTCCTTAAAGAACTAAAAAAAACGGAGAACTTCAGCTTATTTCATTATTTCATATACTAGCATAATTTCAGCCTATCAATGAGCATATGGCAATATTGATCTGAGAAACAGTTAGAGCTTAACTCTTAATACACAACTAACAAGCATGCAGAAAACCCAACGTGGAATTTCTCCCTTTTTTATTGGGGGAGGGGGTGGGGAGGAGATTAGGTGCATCCATGCACCACCAAGAAAATAACTTGGTGCAATATGAAGGTAACCCCAGATGAAAGTTTAATTACTTGTTGTCTCATTGAAGTGGCAAAAGAGTTGACCATATTGTAACATTTTGAAAAGGAAAACTGTTGAACGATCCAGATTGACAAAATCTAATCCAATGGCCAGAATTGAATTATATGGTATGGGAAAGCTATATCCTAACTCCTTTGCACTAAAAACTTTCAGAAGTAATCCAAAGTTAGAACATCTGATTTTGACAGCATTTATATAAAATCAACAAAATCCCAATTTATAACCAATGATCTCATTTATAAGCCAGAGTTTAAAAATGATGCTGCCATACCCAAGTGACGGGTGTCTCTGTAGTTAAGTTTGAACCCTGTGATTAGTAAAAGCAAGATTCTTCTTCTTCCCCATGTTGTTTCAAAACTAAGGAGGTAGGGATGAACACCTAAAAAGGTAATTTTCGCCTAACTCTACCCAGAATAGAAAGAAGGGGGGAAAAAATGGAAGTCACATGAACAAAGCAAGTACTGCATAGAATTTGGAGAAAGAAAAAACAAGATGGAGAGAAGAGGAGTTCTAGTCTAAATAGGGTAAAACAAGAAATAATATGTAAGAGACAATAATAGCACCGCTCATTAAACTTGCAGCCATCACCTTCAATACAACACACTTGCAAAAACCTTCTTTTTTGTTATTATGAACAATTGAGCATAAGTAAAATAGTACAGGTAACCAGCATAGAGTATGGCTTGTCTGAATGATGAATATGCACTGACTAAAGATTTGAGTCCTTCCCATATAAAACTTCATCCAATTTTGCATGATAATTGGTCAAAAGAGATCATCATCTTGTGCATCGACCACATCATTTCTTTTCAGTTTCTCAAAAATTCCTTATGAGAGAGAGACAATGGTTTTCTACATAAGTTGGGCGACAATATCTAGGATACACTAAATGAATTATCTGAGGCATAGTAACTTAACTGGTGACTAAGGAGGAAAAGAGCTCAGGAAGATAGATACAAGATCCATTTTTAGGTAAAATCATGTCACCATTGTAACAAGTCATTTGGGTGAGAATCAATAATCTAAGGGCATTTCTTAATATGTTCAATATTTGACAAAGTTCTCCGTGGTGGCAGTGGGAAAACCTTTGGACGAGGACAGGACTAACAAGTATACCTTGTAGAAAAGAGAGAAAAAAAAAAAAAAAGAAGCAATAAGTCTTCAGGTGCCAGGTCAACAGATGCCTTTCATGATTATTATAAGTATTCTAAGGAACAATAAAACAAAAGTCACAAGCAGGCCAGGTACCATATCAAATCATTAACAATTCTATAAATTAAGGAAAAAATGAAGCATGGAGACATGAGGTTTTTTAATGAAGGGAGACGGATCCTAGCAGGTTCCGTATTTTATTTACAGGGGACTTTTCTAATTGGGGGGGGGGGGTTTCTTGAATCAAGGGTAACACATAACACACCTAGATATGGTTAGATAAGTCATTATTGAAAGATTAGTTTCCGTCATATATTGGGGAAACATGGTATAAACATGAATACCATGTTCCAAAAGGCTGCCTTCGTGACATCCTCGAAGGTGCAAAGAAGTAAAAGGCATTTACATGATACATCAAAAGCTAGAAAAAGAGGCCTGAGTTGGTACCATTCATGTAGAACAGCCAAACAGGGGAAAATTTTATAAATTTATGGCAAATTACCAAACAATAAAACATGGGTTTATTATTTCATCGCAATTGCAAACACTATCAAGCATAAACAATACAACTAGCTACCAAGCACTGCAATATTTCATCGCAATTGCATACACTATCATGGCATGAACTTGAACTTGAACTTTCTCCCAAAATATAGATAAATTTTAACCTTAGTCTTTCAAACAACACAACATGGGTTTATTATACTTGGCTAAAGTTCTCTTCGACGTCTACTACAAACACAAACGATTAATTCGTTTAAATTTAGTAAAAGGAAAGATAAACACTGAGAAGATCAAGTCACTCATATAAAAAGATCATACATTATTAGTTACTAGTCAGCAACTTAGCTTCATGGGTTCCCCAAATCACATAACCTTACAAGTTACGAGGATGGTCACCCTTTCCACAAAGACCAAAGACTTGCATTTTTTATTTTGGTTTATGAAAAAGAATACTTTATCCGGGAATAAAGAACACTCTCCACTCTTTTTCCAGATGTCATTTATGCTCTGAATGTCAACTCAACCATACTTGCCAAGCCTTAATAATATAAATTTCATCCCACTTGTATTAAGCATCTCAACAAGTTGCCAACATCACCACACTCACTAACATCCCTTAGATGCTTAAGCATTTGTGGGTCCTCACAATGCAGCGACCGATCACGGTGTCATCAGTCGCCATCACTCCGACTCTCTAGCTTTCCAGTAAACTAATGGTTACTAACTTACTACAACACATAAATACTCTCAAATACTAGCTTTCCAGTATTATTTTTTCAGGATTATTTGTCAAGTGTCTAAACTATTTCAACTCTTCAAGACAGCAACCCGACACAGCTGACCACAGTACCGCTGAATAACATTTATAAATATCTTGATTAAGGTAATCAATTATTGAGACAACAAATTAATTAAACAATTAAGCCTATTCCTTTTTAGGCAAGAAGATAAAATCAAAGATGTATATTTTAGTTCCCACAATTATCTATTCATATAATTTAAATAATAAAAATAATAATAATTAATATTAATCATAATAAACAATTTCATTAGCACTACTATCACATCTACATGCAGCTGCTACTGCTTCATCATCTAACACCTCAAAAATCAAGCAAATTTCACCAAATTGAATCAAAATCATACATAATTATAGCCTAAAATCTCTCATAATTCACTAATTCCATCCCAAATCAAACAATAAATAAAAAACCCACCAAAAAAAAAGGAAAATTGACACTAATAATCCGAACCCCAGCCCCTTAAGTTGGGACCCGTTACGAGTTAATCGAAAGTCGAGACCTTTTTAAGTAAATCGGCGATAGTTGGGACGTGTAATGTCAATAATTCCAAATAACAAATAATTAAATAAACAGAAGACACAAAAATCGAAGAATACCTTCCAACGAATAACATACTCCTCTTCCTGCTCAACAACGAAGGAATTAAACTTATCAATTTCAGCTTCTAGAAGGTGGATGAAGTTGTTAACCTCCTTGGGAATGGCATCGCTTTCTCCCTCTTCGACGCTAAGTTTAGGACGCTTACTGGGTTTAGAAGCGTCGTGATCGCCATTAATGGGGTAAATAAGCTTCAATTGTTTCTTGAGATCTTTGTATGACAGGAATTTGTCGCGCCAATCGGGTAAGGTTTGAAGGATTAAAGAGCTTAAGATTTTCCAGAATTTCATAATCGAATGAAGAAATTGGAGGAGAGAGAAAGAAGAAGATGATGAAGATGGAATATTTGGGTGGAAAGGGAGATGTCAGAATTTCAGATGGAGTTTCAGAAAGGATGGTGGAGAGAATATATCAAGACCATGGTGGTGGTGGTTCATAAGATAGATGTTTTTATATGCCTTTTATTTTTCTTTTCTTTTTATAATCACGGATTAATTTAATTTAATTTAATTTAATTTTTAAGATGTGACAAGAAAAAAGCACGACATGACGGGATTTTGCAACGAACATTGATAATTACTCATGCTTAAGATAAGTCTCCATTGCACAAAGATTGTGTGAGATTTTTTTTATTATTCCGCAATATATGTAGAAGTGTTTGTATGCAATAGTTTATGGAATTAACTCTTTATTTTTTTTTTTGAAGACATTATGGAATTAATTCTTTATTTTGTCATGTTAAGCATGAGAAATTCAATTTCTATTATAGTTTCAATATGAATTTTTTTTTTTTTGAAGGAAGGTTCCATATGAAAATAAAATAACTGCCCCTTTTTGAAAAAAAATGGTTTTAAGGAGTACAAATATATTCATCATACACCATTAAAAATTTAAATTGTAATAGTTGATTAGACGATCATTCATTCTAGGCGTTAATCAATCAAGTTCCACGTCTAAGCCCTTTACACGATCATCTTAAATTAGACGTTAATCAACTAAGTTAGTCGACATATCGGGTTCTTATCGGAGGTTGGGGCGGAAACCAGTGATACATTGACACACACATTGACTTGGACATTAAATGAGTCTTTTTCTAATTCTCTCTCACTCAGACAGACACTTCCATGCGAAGGAAATGACTAAGACCAAAGTACAGTGAAACATTCTCAAATTCACAACAAAGTTTCGCCCTTTTTCTTCGATTTTCCTTCTTCATTTTCTCTCCTCAATGAAACCCTATTTCTCAAGCATTGTACTTTGATCAACTCTAATTACCAGGTGAATTTGTCTTTCAATTTACAAATTACAATCCTTACCTTTTTTTTATTTCTTTCTTTTGTTGGTATTTTCTTGCTTTTGAATGCTTCCAATAGTCCAATTACACTTCTTTTTTAGACGATTAGAATTTTATTTTGTGGGTATGTTATTTTTTGATGACCTTTATGTTGTTGAATGTCCAGAATTTATGAATTTCAAACATAAATATGTGAATTAGGTGAAAATTTGATCATGCTTTTTTTTTTTTTAATAAGTTTTTTTGGTGTAATTATGTTTCTTTCTGAGTTTTCAATTGATTAATTTCCAATTTTGTGTTTGATGTGAGCAGGGATATTAAATATACTGTAATTGTTTTCAGTTCTTGATATTTGTTCTTGACATTGGCAAAAAAAAAAAAAAAAAAAAAAAAAAAAAAAAAAAAAAAAAAAAAAGAAAAGAAAAAGGGTAATTATGTGGGTTTTAGATATATGTATCCCAACATTAGTATTGGGTCTTATGCTTTGATTGTTGAATTGGGGTATTCTTGATTTGATTAGTGTATTAAGCATAACTTGTTGCTTTTTTTGTTGTTGTTGCATAATTAGTTAATTATTCATGAACATGTTGCTAAATTGAGTCATCCGTATATATGTGTGCCTTCTATGAGGGGCTTTGTAACCGATAACATACATTGGGTGAATACGAAATTACGAAGTCTTCCTTATATGAGATAATTACTATGTTTCCTGCTTACTGATGTTATGCCTCTTGGATACTATCCTCTGCTTGGTTATTGACTCAAATCAAATTACAGGGTCGCAAATGTTTTGTGATGCCATTAGTCACATTCAGTTAAATATTTACCAATTAGCATTTTCAAGTGGAGTTATTATATATGCTTTGAGATAGTTGTCTATCAAGTATTTTATTTATTGAATTCATTCGGTTAATTGATGTAGTCCTTGTTTTCAAATGTAGAAGACCAGTGAATATTGATATGATATGTTGTTAGTATTAAAGTGAGTATTGCTGTTTCTCTCAAAAAAAAAAAAAAAAAAGTGAGTATTGCTATTCAGCATCTTGTACTAGCCGCCCTTTATATGTTAACTTGAGCAACAAGATGTCATTGGATGGAAAAACATTTTTACTCGTTTATTGCTGTTCAGCATCTTGTACTAGCCGTCCTTTAGAAGTGTTTCTTCTGGCTAAGATTTTGATAAAGCTTGCATGTATTACTTCTTTTGTGCTTGGTGAGTAACTGCATATAACATATAAAACACTTTATTACACTTGACCAACATCTCAACTCCTTCCAAACTGAGACAGGCCATCTTGTGGCGCGTGCATAATGTTGGCTATGGGTTCTGGTGGAATATGCTATCTTTTGCTAAATTTGTGAAAGCATCATGCAAATAGGCTCTTGAACATGATTTATGTGAAAAGCTTTTAATCAATAATATAATTATTGAGGTTTAAAATACTCTGTAGTTGCTATTGTAGAAATGTTATGCCCTAGGCTTGAATGTAGTACCTGCAGTTATGGTACTATTTATGCTGATAAGATTTGTGGGTGAAGCCGTGAAGTCCATGCCAAGGTGACGCTTTTGGAGTTTTGGTGTGTGTAGATGCAAATATCGTGTGCTTTTTAATTAATTAACTTTCCTGTTTGGTGTATGTATATATCATTCTATCTTATTATTATAAAAATGGATATACATTGATTTGGTTTCTTTTGAGTTACTGCAGGGGAAAAAGTCTGTTATTCGAGCAAAATGGGATCAGAAAATACTGAAAAAGGTTCAGTGGTTACTCAGCTCAGTTTTGGTGGGTTTGATAATGACATAACTGCCAAAATGTTTGCGGATTACATCGAGAATGAAATGGGGGTACAAGTTTGGAGGTGCAGATTGAAGAAATCTTGGACTCCTCCAGAGTCATATCCAGACTTCCAAATTCAAAGTATTGAAGATTTGGTTAACACTGATGATTATGAGAAGGTGGAGCCCCATGCTTTTGTTCATTTCGCTTCCCCTGAATCAGTACGCTATATTTTGGATGTTGCGGGGGGAAATGGTCTTATTTTGTACGGGAAAGTGCTCAAAGTTACATTAGGTCCTATGAATCCCTTTCGTATTAATCAGATGAGGAGAACGACTACTCCATTTAAGCTGACAGATGTTCGTGTTGATATTGGGACTCTTGTTAGTCGAGATGAGATGATTGTTGGCTGGAAAGGACCTTCTGCTGGGGTAGATTTCCTTGTCGATCCTTTTGATGCAACCTGCAGGCTCAACTTCACAAAAAAGACAGTTTTCGCATTCAAAGACGAAAGAAAGAATGCTGTTATTAATTGTGATTTCAAAGTTGAATTTTTGGCCAGGGAGATTAATGAGATTAAACGATATACAGATCGTTCAGGACTGATTATCTATTTTCAGCTTTCTTCAACTCCCTTGCTCTTCTACCGTACTGCTGATGATGATATCTTTGAGTCTGTTCCATTTAGCTTGTTGGATGATGATGATTCTTGGATAAGGACTACAGATTTTACGCCCAGTGGGGTTTTTGGTAGGTGTAATTCATACCGGATTTCAGTTCCACCCCGTAATGGTCGGAAGTTAGAGAGAGCTATAAATTATCTTATTGAGCGACGGGTCCCAGTTGAGCATCCAAGACTGCCACTTAGGGTCAGGGATGAACCTAGTTTTGGTGTGCAGATATCCGATCCCTTTTTCTGTGTCCAGCATGAAGAAGGTGTACCATTTAATGTAACCTTTATGCTGAATGCTACTGTGCATAAAGGAATCATAAATCAGCACCAGTTAACAGGGAAATTATTCGATTTGCTTAGAACTCAATCAGCAGAGGTCAACTTGGCTGCTTTAAGGCATATCTGTTCTTACAAGCGTCCTGTATTTGATGCTTGTAGAAGACTGAAACTAGTATATGATTGGTTGCTTAAAAATCCCGGGCTGTTGAGGGACTCTACAAAATTGACTGACATTGTAGAAGTTAGGAGGCTGATCATAACCCCGACTAAGGCCTATTGTCTTCCACCTGATGTAGAACTTTCCAATCGAGTTCTTAGGCATTACAAAGATGTATCTGATCGCTTTTTAAGAGTAACCTTCATGGATGAAGGAATGAGAATGTTGAATGCCAATGTCCTTTCCTATTATGCTCCACCTATTGTGAAGATGATTACATCGAATACATATCCTCAAAGGACATCAATTTTCAAGAGGGTGAACATATTGTTAAAAAACGGATTTTACCTGTGTGGGAGGATGTATACCTTCTTAGCATTTTCTTCAAACCAGTTGAGGGATCGATCTGCTTGGTTCTTTGCTGAAGACAAGAGGGACAAGAGGCTGACAGTGAATAGCATAAGGAACTGGATGGGAAAGTTCACCAACAGGAATGTTGCCAAATGTGCTGCAAGAATGGGACAATGTTTCTCTTCCACCTATGCGACTGTTGAAATTTCATCAGATCAAGTTGACTCAGAGCTTCCAGATATCGAAAGGAATGGCTATGTTTTCTCTGATGGAATTGGGATCATATCACCAGATCTTGCTATGGAGGTTGCAGAAAAACTGCAACTTAAAGACAACCCACCCTGTGCATATCAGATCCGGTTTGGAGGTTGCAAAGGTGTGGTGGCATGCTGGCCGCCAAAGGATGACAAGATCAAAATTTATCTTCGTCCAAGTATGAATAAGTTTCAATCGAGGCACACAGTTGTTGAAGTCTGTTCATGGACAAGATTCCAACCAGGGTTTCTGAATCGACAAATAGTGACCTTGCTTTCAGCACTTGAGGTTCCTGATGAAGTGTTTTGGAGAATGCAGGAAACAATGATTGCGAAACTCAATCAGATGCTAGTGAATACTGATGTGGCTTTTGATGTTCTAACAGCTTCATGTGCCGAGCAAGGTAATACAGCAGCCATAATGTTAAGTGCTGGTTTTAAGCCACAAACGGAGCCTCATCTACGGGGCATGTTGTCTTGCATTAGGGCAGCACAGCTTGGGGACCTCAGAGAAAAGGCCAGAATATTTGTTCAGTTGGGTAGATGGCTGATGGGCTGTCTAGATGAAGTTGGTGTACTTGAACAAGGTCAATGCTTTGTACAGGTGTCAAACCCTTCGCTGGAAAACTGCTTCTCTAAACATGGTTCAAGGTTTTCAGAAGTGAAAAGGAATTTACAGATTGTTAAGGGCTTGGTCATTGTTGCCAAGAATCCTTGTCTTCATCCAGGAGATATAAGGATTCTTGAGGCTGTAGATTGCCCAGATTTGCATCATCTTTTTGACTGTCTTGTCTTTCCTCAAAAGGGGGAGAGACCACATACAAATGAAGCGTCAGGCAGCGATTTGGATGGGGATCTATACTTTGTTTCTTGGGATGAGAATCTTATCCCACCTAGTAAGCGAAGCTGGATACCTATGGAGTATACACCTGCTGTGGTTAGGGAACTGCCTCGTCCAGTGAACCATCTGGTAATTATCTGCTCTTTTGTCTACTGCTTCATCTTTTGGTATGATTAGAAGATGTCAGCATGAATAACCCAAAAAAAATTGTAAGAATTTCGTGATTAGTAGCTGTTTTCTGTAACATAAAAGTGTTATGTGTCTCCTTGTTATTGCTAAATAAAGCAAGATGCCATTATTTATCCTTAAAAAACTATTCTTGGTAGAAGCACTAAATCCTGCTGATGGAACTGGTTTGGGTTGGATTTGGTACTTGCTCCTTTTTTCTATTAAGTCCCACCTTCCTTCTTAGGCTCACTGAATTCTTGTTTCCAGGAAATAATTATCGAATACATCTAAAAAATTTAAAGCATTATCAATGACATTGTTAGTACTTATGTTGAAGCATGCAGCAGCACAGTATAATGAAGTCCTTGAGTTTAGTGGTGCTTGGCGGATAACAAATATGATCATTGCTCATCTTTATGACATTTACTGGTTCGGATTATAGCCTGGATAACTTGTTCTGCGTACTTATATTTGGTTTCTCTTTTTTTTTTTTTTTTTTTTTTTTTTTTTTTTTCTGCAGGACATAATAGAATTCTTCACAAGGAACATGGTTAATGAGAACTTAGGAACAATTTGCAATGCCCATGTAGTTCATGCTGACCTTACTCCATATGGAGCATTAGATGAAAAGTGTCTCACATTAGCAGAACTCGCTGCATTGGCTGTGGATTTTCCGAAGACAGGCAAGGTGGTAACCATGCCTAACGAACTGAAACCTAAAATGTACCCCGATTTCATGGGAAAACCAGAGACACAATCATACAAGTCTGACAAGATCCTCGGAAGATTGTACAGAATAATTTTAGATGCTTATGACGAAGACAGTTATCTATCTCCTGAATTAAACGTCAGTCCTAAGGATATTACTTATGACACAGATCTGGAGGTTCCAGGTTCAGACGATTTCACAAACGAGGCATGGGGTCTCAAGTGCTCGTATGTAGGACAGCTTTGTGGCCTGCTAGAACAGTATAAAGTCAGCAATGAAGAGGAGATTGTAACTGGACATGTATGGTCCATGCCCAGATCCAGCAGTAAGAAGCAAGGAGAGCTCAAGGAAAAGCTCAAGCATGCTTACAGTTGTCTAAAGAGAGAGTTTAGGCAACATTTTGATAAACTTGGGGCTGATTTTGAGCACCTAGATGATGAGGAGAAGAACTCAATTTATGAGAAGAAGGCTTCAGCGTGGTATCAGGTGACTTATCATTCTGAATGGGTGAAAAAGTCAATGGAGGTGCTAGGCCCTGATGATGAAGAACAGGTGAATGTTATTCTGAGTTTTGCCTGGGTCCCCGCTGATTACCTTGCTCGTATCAAGGTGAGGAATGGAAGAGAAAAGGGAATTATGGTTGCGACGGAGAAGCCAATCAATTCTTTGGCGAATTACCTTGCAAAGTGCATGCAGATGTCCTGAATTCTCATTTCTGTTGATGTACATTGGCTGCACGGCCACTCTGCCATTAGTGTAAGTTTCTTATTGATGTTCTCTGCAATTCTTGATGTTTTTGCAGCTTGTCCTGTTGATGTACTCTATGCTGTAGCTTCCATGTTCGATCTTTTGGTACTGTTTAGGGTCTTTTTAAGATAGATTTGTCTGTGTGCTCTTTGTTAATGGTAATTATAACCTATGTAGCTCAGAAGTTTGGTGATTGGATATATAACTAAATGTTCAGGCTATTTCTCCTATAATAGAATATGTACTGCAGGAAATCATATTATATTGGGAAGTGATCCAGTATCGGATTGGACTATCTGTTACACCTTATTAGATGCATTTATAAATTGTTTGAATGGCTATTCTTTCTCTTTCATAGATTGTTATGCTCTAGTGTATAAGCAAAACAATTACAGCATACATTAGTAGTTAGTTACCTTTCAAATAGGGGCTGTAATACTACACTTAGTAAAATCGTTGCAAATAATGAAATGGCTGGGTACTTGACACTGAAACTGATTCCTGCACTATCCTGGTGTGGTTCAGTGGTTCCCATTTACAGGAATTGGCTACAACCACACCACCACCACCACCACTCAACTATTTATAGTGGTCTGAAGTTCTTTAATTATGCCTGATATTCAAAAGAGATAAGGCAGATGGACATCTATTGAAATGTCTTTGTAAGAATTGTAACTAATCTTAAATATTTTACTGACACATTGAAGACACTGCCTTTGAAGTTTGAATCTACCTGGTGCACATTTTGCACTCCTTTACCATTGATTTTACATTTTTTTTTACTTGACATAGTTTCCAAGCGCTGTTCATTACTCTGTTGGACTTAACATTGCGTCTCTATATATTACTCCGTTGGACTTAACATCGCGTCTCTATATCTATATTTATACTCTAAACTCTATACTTATCTTTTTTTTTTTTTTGAGGAAAATCTCTATACTTATCTATTAAAAATAAAACTTTCAAGCTTTTTAATAATGATAATAATTTATTTTTTTAAAAAAAAAAAAAAACAAAACAAAATCAAAGGCTGATAATAGAGAATTTCAAAAGGATAAATTACTTTATATAAATCCACAATTGCATATCTTTACCATATACTCGTAATTAAATTGACAGAATTTTCCTTTCAAAAAAAAAAAAAATTGACAGAATTCGATCTCTTCCCTAATTTTTTATTTTCTGTTGTGGAAAAGCCTAGATTATGATTATGGATGCCCCGATTATGAAGAGAAACGAGTCATTAGCAAGATCAATTGAAGATTTAGGTGATGAATTATTGAGTGAGATATTTACCAGGCTTCCCTGCCATGAAAGTGTGATCAATTGCAAGTTAGTATCCAAACGTTGGTTGTTTATACTCCGTAACCCTAAATTTGTGGTTGAATTCCTGAATCACGCAAAAAAGGGGCATTTACCGTGGGCCTTTCTGTGTACTATGAAGATGAGGAGGACGAGTAATGAAGATGAAGATGAAGATGAAATCCCAAATCATAAGGTATTCAATTCTCCCAACTTTACCCTAAATTTCCTGCCATTTCCGTTTAAAGTTGCTAACACATTCAAGGATTTAATATTGTGCTCGAATACAAGTCCTGGGATAAGTAATTTGCATTATTATTATATCATCTGTAATCCTGTAACCAAACAATGGCTCGCTCTTCCTCCCACTCCTACTCTGAGCGCCCCAATTGATCAACGGGGGTCGTCTTCTTGGGCGTGTTTGACATGTCAAGACCCCTATTATAATGTCAATATAGATCGACTTGATTACAGGTTTCGAGTTGTGGCAATCCATCTTACCCCCGTAGGGCGCCACTTGGTTAACCATCCCTCTAAAGTTTTCAATATTATGGTCTTTTGCTCCGAGAGTTTTGAATGGAAAACGATTAATGTGTCGGTGGCGATAAGGCCGTCATCAATAAAATGGTGTCCGGGTACCTTTTGTTGGGGTGCTTTGTAATGGGATGGTTTGTGTTCGCCATCATCCTTATTTCGGAATGTTTAACCCATTCGATGTTACCCCTCGTACTCTGAATGAGTCTACTCTTACATCCAGGATGCTACGAACATATTATGATGCTCAAGGAAGAGTCTATGAATGTGGAGGAACCAAATTGGTTGTAATCGCCGACACTTGTTTTTCCTCTAAACCTGGACCGCCTCCATTGACATTCACAATCAGGAGTGCCGAGTTAGATCTTAAGGATATCAATTCAGTGCCGATATTTTGGCATCACAATTTCAGAGGTCTGTGCACTAGTGCATCAATGCCACTGCCCACTTTTTTGCGTCACATTATTGGTATACACCCGACTAACAAGTACTTGCTTTATGTATTTACTACTCGTGATGAGCTGGTTTTGTGTGATATGCGCTCTAAATCCTTGAAGGTTTTGGGTACATTACATCCAGATCGTATCAAGTCCACTGCCAGGTTTCAGCTCCAATCCTGGCCTACGCCACTTCCACTTCCGCCCATTCAATGATCAATGTTTCAAGCGTACTGATGCACAACACTTCTAGTTTGATTAATGTTTGATATATCTATATATGTCTATTTACACAAATAAGCATTAGAGGCTTGGTTTCATATATCTTTTACTCATACACTACGGATATTGCCCGTGCACTATAAGATAGGTTTTTTTTTTTTTTCTTTCTAAATCACATAAAGCATAATGATGGCATTGCTATTCTTGATTGTGATGTTACAATTTCAGTTTGTTTCTCCTTGAGTTTAGTTCAATTAATCTTGCATATGTTTGGGCGCAAATGTTGTTATATGCTTCTCCTCTATCCTAGCTTTGTTTTGGCTACAGGATGATTGACCACTGACTGACTTTATAAATGCATGCATCTTAAATCTTAATGTTGGTGAAAAGTAAGGTTAGCAGATACAAATTAATAACTGAACCACCAGAATGTGAAACACTGAAACCTGTCCACTGGCACTGCAATCATATTAAACACTCGATACTCCTGAATCCTGATATGGTCACCTGATAATGCTGAGCTCGGGGAGTCTTTATGTTTGGGTCGTGCTAGATGCCATGATATGTTGAGCTTCTTGTTGGGGTTTCCTTGCTTAGGTGCTCATCAATGTACTGTAGCTTGGCTTGGATTAGTGACCGAATTTGATTTGGTCTGGTTTTCAGCTACTGCATTTAGGGGCAATGTTCTTAATTTGCTATTGCTTTATTTAATTTTGTATTCTACTCTCTCCATAACACAAAATAACTTTTAACAATTGAATGTGTTATATTTGACAAAGTTAAACAACAGAGTAGTGCAACTCAATTGACTTTAACAAAGTGATGAATTTTCAATCGCAACATCCATGTTACTGCCGTTACGATTGCAAGAGGGTGTTAGAGATATGAGATATCGGAAGATATATGTGTGATATATTTTCCGTAGATATCATTAAGGGAATAATATATTTAGGTTTTTCACTTAATTAGTGTATTAGGTTTGGGCTCCATATAACTCACATCCATGGTCCATACATCTTCACTTTTTTTTTTTTATTTGAAAGAAAGTCGATAGAGCATTTTATTAAGAAGCATCTAATCCCACCAAAGTCATAATACTTTGGGGGAAAGAGTCAAGTCGTACATACTCTGAGTGATTAACCGCATCCCACCTCGCAACTAAATGGGCAACGGTATTACAAGAACGATTTGATAGAGAATATTCATAGAATATTCTCATCTTAGGTTTAGGATATATTTTGTATAAGATTATCTTTGATATCTGTACATATCTTATAGTTACCTAATATGATTAAGTTTCTCATTGTAACCCTATAAATATTAATCAATGGAAATCATTCTAATCAACGAGCTTTATATTATCTGACACGATTAACATGAGTAATGACACAACTATCAAACCAAGCTCTGTCAATCCTAATATCATCATAGATAACAAATAAAGGGGTAAGACCTTCGCTCTTCACCTTCTAAATCAAAGACTCACTATTGGCATTGGCAGTATATTAAATCAAAGCCCAATATTACAGAAATTCAAAAAGATTAAATTACTATAAATGGAAAACTAAAATAACCCTTTTGCCTTTTTTCTTTCACTACTGTATATAAATTCACACTTGCATAACTTTACCAAAATAATAAAATAAAAATATAAGGGTTTTTCTACACAGTAACCCTATAGTATCGGGTTTTCTAAGGTGTGTCCATCCTTATAAGAAGTTCCACAATGTAAACCTCATGGTACAGTTAGTAACTCTATGGTAGCATTGTCGATAGTTTATCTTTAATGACGTTCTGTTTTAATGCTCTTTCAAAATTTAATTAGTTATATCCGAGTGTATAATAGATACAAGTATTTTTTTTTTTAATTAATCATACAGTAGGTAAGACCGTAAGATATACAATTTACAATTCACAAACATTGCCTACTTGCGTCATATGCAAAATTGATCCATTTCTAAAAGGAAAATTCTCAACAGTGATATCAAACTTTTGCTACGCACTAATGGTGACCTTTCATTTTTTTTTCAATTATACAAAATGACTCTAATTAAGAAAATTTTCTCACTTATGACATTAATAGTTAAAAAAAATTAAATAAATAAATAAAACCACCAATTGGAACCAATTAATAATACTATACACTATAAGTTATAGCTTACCAGAACTGATACCTAAATCCAAATTAGCTCAAAGGGTGAACTGAGTGGAACACCAAAAAAAAAAAAAAAAAAAAAAAAAAAAAGGTTATAACTTGAGTGTTTAAGGGAGAAACAGGTGTGTAAATCATGTCATAAGCTTCGCTAAGCAAATCTTAATTAGTGTATTAAGGCTGGGCTCCATATAACGCACATCCAAGGTCCTTCTACATCAAAGACCCACTATTGGCACTATATTAAATCAAAGCCCAATATTAGAGAAATTCAAAAATAAAATTACTATAAATAGAAATTAAAACAACCCCTTTTGCCTTTTTTGATGTTTCCTTTCACCACTTTAGTTTATATATACTACGTAAATTCACACTTGCAACTTTACCAAAATAATTAAATCAAAATATAATTAAATCACACTATTTTTACATTTTTTTTTTTTAAATTGGACAACCTAATCTTTGAATAGGAAATCCTTAGCTATTCTCAACAGTGGTTCTACACAATTTGGAGCAAACTTTCTAGCAAACAAAAACGGGTCCCATCTGTGACTCACGGACAAATCAGAGCCGTGGATCTTTATACTCCCATATCTTGGTCTACTATCTCTCAGCCATCGGATCAAACCCGGGTCCACTTCCGTTGCATTGTAAGTCCGCGGGTGACCGTCGTGCCGTCCTCGCCAGTTCACGTTAGTAAGTGTAGCGGGGACCACATTATCTGGGTCCACCATAGAAAGCAATGTAGGAAAATAATTCTCTTCAGGGTAGCACGTGCCAAGCGTCACGCATGGTAGCCTAAACTTCCGCCATAATTTCACATCTTCCACCACCACGCGCGCGTGGTGGCGCGAGATAGACCAAAATTGTGACCCTATACGGAAGTCAGGGAAACTTACCTCAGGGAGCATTGCGGACTCCCCACGCGCCGTCCATCTCCCCCATGCTGTCGTCTCGTTGCTTAAAATCTCGATGAAGCTCTTGTTTGATGACACGAGTGTGGTGTATGTGAAGTTGAATGAGTGGATGGGAATGCACGTGTCTGAGAGGAGGATGAACATGTAGTTATCGGGGTCGTTGATGAGCGCGTGGGATAGTAATCTACGCGCTGCTGTTATGAGTGTTGGAGTGTTCCGGCGCGTGGGCTTGGATGAGGGTATCACGCGCCCTGAGAAGACCCCGGTAAATGGAGGGTCGTATTGAGAGTTTGGGTCTGCGTGTATGTATATGTTGTACTTCCTTTTATTATTATTAGTACTCCCTGCGCCACTCTGGTTAAAGTATAACTCCCATAGTGGCGCAAATGGGAGTGGACTGACAGTCAAAAATAGAAATGCCACCTTTTTAAGGTGGTCGGGTTTGGGTTGACCTGTGATGCTCGTTTAAGGAGGTCCACATCCTTCTTGTCATCCTCGGGAAGTGGTGGTGGCGGCGGTGGCAGTTGTTCGATAATAAGTGGTTTAGAAATGGTTTTATTTGTAGGAGGTGTAGTGTTTTCTTTTTTTGTTGGGATTATTGGGGGTACAATGGACCTAGGTGGTGGAGGAGGAGGTGGTGGTGGTGGCGGTGATATTGTTGGTGGGGGAGGTGATGACAACGGTGGTGGAAGCGGCGGTGGCGAAGGTGTTACAAGGTTGTAACTAACAATATTAGTAACAATGGAGGAGGGATTGGAGGAAATGGTAAAGACAAGGGCAAGAGGGAAGCAAAGGAGGACGGCACAAAAGAGAGAAAGGGGGTTAGGGGAAAGCATTTCCCTTCACTAGCTACCATAATCATGTTAACTCACCATACTTGTTTGAGAATAACTAAAGATTGTTGCAATATAAAAGCAAGAATTAATAATAATAATTATAAATTGAAAGTTAGTATAAAGTGATTAAAAAAACATATACTCTAATGCATTATTCTATAATTGTATTCTTCTAGAATTATACATGTTCTAAAAATAGATTATTTTTAGAATCTTGTAACTCATCGGTCCATTTTTATATTAGAAGACAAATTGGGATTAGGAGGGTTATTAAGCAATAATAATTACTCCAAATAAGGATTTTGTTTGCTAAGCCAACTAACCTTAAACTTGCATGAATTTATGGCCGTTTGATGCATGTAAACCTGGGCACGGGCCGGGTTGGCCCGCGTGCCGCCCGGCACGGCCCGCCGTTCGGAGCAGCCCGGCACGGCCCGAAGTCAAGCACGGCACGGCACGAACGTCGACTTCCGTGCCACGGGCTGTGCCACGGACACGGTGGAGAATTCCCAGGCACGGCCCGGCACGAGCACGAGCAAGGCCCGCCGTGCTGGCCCGCAGGCACGGCCCGAAGGCACGGCCCGCAAGCACGGCCCGCGGGCCAACGGCTAGTTCAACGGCTAATTAACGGCTAGTTTTTTGCCAAAAATTCTATAAATACTCACCTCCATTTCATTCCCAAATCACAAAATCACAATCTCTTCTTCTTATCTCTTATATTCTCTAAATCTCTAATAATCCTTATTTTCTTAAATTCTCTAATTATTCTCTTAAATTCTCTAATTATTTTCCTAATATCGGAAAAAATTAAAAAGTTCGTAATCGTAATTAGTGGAGCGTTGAAGCACGGTTGTAAGATCTAAACTAATCTTAAATTTATTATTGTTTTATTGTTATTATTAGAATAATCTTGTTTAATTATTATTGTTGTTAATTGTTATTGTTGTTGTTATAATTGTTGTTATTAATTATTATTATTGTTACAATTGTTGTTATTATTTATTTTTGTTGTTATTGTTATTGTTATAGTTGTTGTTATTAATTATTATTATTGATATTTTTATTGTTAAAATTGTTGTTATTAATTATTATTATTATAGTTAACCACTTTTTATTAAAAAATTAATTGTTAATTATGGCATCGAACAACCCATCATCTAGGTCTAGGGGGAAAGGCCGACTTATCCGTAGTAGTAGTTCTAGGGAACCACCAAATACAACGAGCCCCCAAATTACGAGTCAAACCAATGACCCCATTTACTTCCCCCCGGGCTATGAGCCATATAATACGTCGGGATTTCCAGCACCACCACTAAACCAATTTCCACAACCACCATACCAATTTCCACCTAATTATATCGGTAATCAACAAAACTATTGTTCTAGCCAAGGTAGCCAAGAAAGTACCCGAATTCCCTCCGGTTCTACTACCC